TTTCTTAATCTTTCGAGTGGAGAACAGGCTGTCTTCTCTAGTCAGGGGCCAGGAAGGCAAAACGTATTGCAAGACAAGTAAGCATGGCAGTTAGCTTCCCTCCCTGCTCCACATTACATTACAAAGCAGACTTAAAATGTTAGGTAGGTAGATTTATTGCAGAGTATTAGGAAGCCATATATTCAGGTAATTTGCTGTCTAACCAGACCCAGGAATTCTGCCCTTGTCAGACTCCCAGATAGACTAAACAGGAAAAAAACGATGAGTGAAGTCTACTTTATTGTAAGACTACAGTAATAGAATCTTGCAAGTCTGAAAGCATAATTCTCCCACCATCTTTTTATTACCTGAATAGTTTGGGTGAATCTAAATTTCTTTCTCTGCACATTATCTAGTAGTGGGCTCCTCCCCCTTTTATCTGATTGTTCCCTAGGCAGCATCTCACCCCCCCCAATCTTCCAAAGTCATTCTCACATTCCATTACAACACTTTGTATATTTCAAGTCCTAAGGCAATGATGGTTAACCTTTTCTAGACCGAGTGCCCAAATGCAAGAACCCCGAACTGCCAAAATGCAATGCTCATGTGGCCCCCCCACATGCGCCTCGCCTACCCACGTGCATGCGTGGCAGAGACCCGAAGACCAGCTGGCTGGCAGAAGGTGCGCGTGCATATGCGGCGGAGCTGAGCTGTGCCCACAGAGAGAGTGCTACGTGCCACCTCTGGCACATGTGCCATAGGTTTGCAATCACTGTCCTAAGGTGTGAATCTCAAAAGGTGCTTTATTATTATTATTTTTTTTCAAAAGGCAACTGGATTTTTCTGGTTTTTCTTTGAAGACGTTTCACTTCCCATCCAAGAAACTTTTGTTCTAACTGGATGGTGGGGAATGAAAGGATTTATACTCCTTGCAGACAGTTGGTCATTTGCATTCTTTTAGCAAGTTATTAAGGCCACCTGGAGGTTTATCTGTGTCGTCAGTGTCACCTGAGTAGTGCAAATGGGTGTGGGAGCCTTCTTGGAACTGTTGAAAGGACTGTGTTGTAGACTGGAGATAGATGATGCTGTATCCCACCCCCTCTGTTGAGTCAGGGACTGTTCAATTTTGACATAGATAGCCTCTTTGAGGTGTGAATCTTGCCAGTCTTCCTTTTTGCATCAATAGCCATTTGGTTACTCATTTCCAAGTCTTGTTTCTGCTTTCTGTCCCTTCTTTATAAAATGTCTGTTTTTGGCTAGAGACACAAAAATTCCTGCTGACCAGTTTCAGCCCCTTGTCTTGTCCTGTCCTTCAAAGTGAATATAATAGACCTTTTCATTTTAAAACATTGATCAGTTCCATTTTAAAGGGGCAGAAATGTTGGGCTCTGAATATTTTTCAAAGTTGCATGACAGTGGCTACAGTCAGATGATCGTAGTGTCTTAGATTGGAAATCAGCAATAAGTTTAAGTTTTTCTTTGTGGGTGAGGAAAGAATGAGAAAACACTATCTTTCTAGTGAGGTGTGAATCTTAATTTGTTGCTTTCCCAAAATGGAACACAGTGTAATTTATTTATTTTTTTCTCAGGCCACATTTACTTATAAACCAGCATCAGATTTATGCATTATTTGGAAGCAAAATGTTTGGAAAAATAGGAGTCCATTGTGGGCTTTTAAAAATATCTTCCTAAAATGACCTAATAGTTTAGGGTTCAGAATATCACTTTCAATTTAAATTGGCTCCAGGCAGGCAATTGTCCTGCCTTATTATCAGGTGGTTATTTATTTTAATGGAGTCTTGACTGACAGCAGGGAGTAAGCCACTGAACTGTGAACATATCAATGCTGAAAGGTGCTCCAATCACTGCTTTAACATACTGTTTCCTGAATCTCTTAGGGAAGTGCAGATTGCTTTAGTGTTCATTTATCCTTATCTTGAGAATTGTTTTAATTTGTATTACACAACATACAAATTTTGTTTATTTTATTCAAAATGTGTTTCGACTGCCTTTTAAAAACCTAATTGCTCTGATATTTGACAATTTGCTCTTTAAAGCAATGGGGTTAACCCTATTTATTTAAAGTTTGAAAAGCCATCACCTGTAATTCTGTAATTAATCAGTTCACTGAAATATAAAACATTTAAACTAATACTGAATAAGGAATACACACATCAAAATGTCAATATTGTAGATACTTAGATACCTCTGGTATTTAATGAACTCTATGTCAGCTAAGAAAATTAAGGAGTTTCCACTGAACGCTTTTCAAGAACACTTTACTTGAATAGGGCATAAACCTTTTATGTTCTTTTGAAATTCACATAACTTTTTCATACATATTGTAAGAAGAAAAGAACTGTAACCTTGAAGTTCAGGAAATATTTCAAATTTCAAATATTTAAAGTGAGTCATATGAAATTTGTTCTTATAACCAATCCAGTTTTATGGGGCCCTTTAGAGATGGTCTCAGATGGTCACCACAATATAGATTTGTATATTATAGTTAAGGTGTAGGCTTAAAACTAGGGACATCCAGATTTAAGTCCACTTTCAGTTTGCTCATGCTTTTTGAGTTATAGGTTTGTTGTTGTGAAGCTGCCTTGAACTCTTAGAAGAAAGTCAGTATATAAATGGGTGCATGCAAAGTATAATCCAAATACTGTAGATCTTCAAGATCTTATCAAGGATTAAAATGATTGAGAAAAACCCTAGAAACAAATCCCTGGAGCTTACTACTGTGCAAAATCTGTTGGGTGAGACAACTCTAGCCGCCACTTGATGCTTCTCTCGTGATCTGAGTTGGCATATCTGTTCATAAGGAATGACAAGCTGGATTCTCTGGTGACTTTGTCGTCATATAGCATAACATTTTGTTTGTAAATAATTATCTTATGTAATATAATATAGGTGTTAAGTTGTTAAGACTAAGAAAAATCATTTGAACAAACACTGAACAATTTTAATCCTGTCACTGTTTCTCAATTTAACAAGATTGTTGTTGAAAGGATAAAATAAAATAAAACCCTCATGTATATCTCTTCACCTCTGGAAAAAAAATGGGAATAAACTAAGTAAAATGGGTCCAGTTTAGTACTTGATAGAAGGTCACCTGAAATAACCAGAGTTGCAGGTGAGATTTGGGGGCTGGGAAGGGAGTGTTAAACTTTTTTTGTGGGGAAAGCAGTGGCAATCTATGTTGCTGCCAAGAAAATTTCATTGTCGTGTCCACATTATCATCAGAAGTCACATTTTATTCAAATGACAATTTACTTTAATTGTATTAAAAGAGGTGGAGTCGTGGGTTTAGGTATTTATGTAAATTGTTCACATAGCAAAATTAGGAAGTTGTTATTTAATACTGACAAATATACTGTGTTAACTCTACATGTAGAGGTTGTGTCAGCTTCTTTTCACTAGGGGATTAATTGAAATTTCAGTTTGACCAGTGGGGTCTAAAAGTATGTATGTGTATATTAAATCAATTTATATGGTGGTAAATTTCACAAATTTGACTCTGGGAAGCTAACAACATGTTAAAAATAGTAAGGTAAAAGCATACAATGGTTGCCAAGGATAAACCTAAACAAAGCAATTGAGGAAAAATCTGTCAACAAGCTATCTAACCTCACATCTCCCAGGAATTGGAACATATCCAAATCTTCAGCGCTTTACAAATTCGGATGTGGTGTTAATGTATGCATATTTTATGTTCACACTCATTTTTTTAGTTTTCTCAATTATAGCAACATTTACAATTTAAAGTATTGGCTTTAGTTTTTAAAGCTCTACATATCTTAAAGACCTTATTCTCTACATATAACAAAACTGCCAAATATATTTGCCTTAGTTATGGTGCTGAATCCATATTTATCAGAAATTGATGGAAACTGTAGACAACATTTCTCTGTGATGGACCTCATTTCTGGAATTGCCTCCCCCAGACATCCTTTGATAAATTGTTAAAATGAAGATATTTCCCATATTAACTATTTCATTAACTGTTGAAGTAATATTGTCCATTACAGTAAAGGTGCCTGAGGTTATTATATTCATAATTGATTTCTCTTTTCTTGTAATTTGTTCTTTTATGTTTTTATTGTTATATATCTATTTGAGCAGCAGGTTTTGGCAATGTACAAATATAATAAGTAAATAAAATCACTTATGTTACTTGTTAACAATATCATCTCACAAATTACACAAAATGCAAAGAGAAGGCAGATCCAGCAGCAGCCTCAGGAGCTCACTACTTTCACCAAAATGACAAAAATCACACTGGAAGCTCTCTGCCTTTGGAGTATCAGGGCAACCACATATTTATAGGCAGCATATCTTTGATTATTGAATAGCAACTACAGTTTATGTTCTTCCAGAAACAATTGAGTGCTAATTGAATGCTGGGCTAGATAAATGTTCAATGATCTGAGAGGGTTTTTAGTCTCAAGTATCCATGTGATAAATGATATTACAAGGATTATATATAGTTTCTTTTAAAGCATTGTACATTTCATTTAGATTACATGGGACTCTTTTTTTTTAAAAAAAGGAATTCAGTCAGCATACAAATATCTTTGCTTCATTATTAATGGGGTTACACCTGTATACTTTACCATTCTTAGTCTGACTATACTATTAATCCTATTTTAAAAGACAGAATGAGGCAGAGAAAAGAGTAGAATATGAAATCATTCAACAAAGGAGAGAAATTAAGGTTACTTGTGTTGATTGGTTCTTACATGAAGCAACACTGCCATCTCTGATCTGATCCATGAAGATTTGCTTACACTACTTTGCCATCAATGGATCTCTGATTGAAAAAAATTAGTTATATTGGTTTTAGTTATTTAACAGCAAACACGGTGGTTGATTTGTTCCAAATTATTTCTCACATAATAGTTTTCAAATGGCAGAATGTTGACTTTTTTTGAGTCTTTCTGATTCCTTGGTTTATTGCTCTCAAATATTTGAGAAATAAATTTTAATTCTTCAAAGATATTTTTCTTTCTTTCTTCTTTTAGAAATTGAAGGAATATCTGGAAGGGAGGAATCTCATCACCAAGCTCCAGGCCAAGCATGACCTCCTCCAGAAGACTTTGGGAGAAAGTAAGCATGAGAATTGCTTGTCACTGTGTCAGCCCAGCCTTTGTAATTACTAAATTAGGCAGCTGACTGAGCATAACAATCTTGGATTATCAATGCTAAGTGGACAAAGTCATGTTTTATGGATTTATTATTCCATCCCTGCAGTGCTGCTTAAATAATGGCAAAAGGGAAGTGCTTAATGAGCCAATAATGTGCAACATCTATTTGTTTAAGTGAAACCATTTTCTCTCCACTTCCCTCCCATTTCAGCATATCTGCAGAATCAAATTAGGTTAATTCTTGCAATTAATCTTTTTTTTTCTCATGGTGTGCAAATATTCTATCATTAGGGAAGCACTTTTGTTGTTGAACTAGGTTGCTTCCCATGTCTGTATGGATTTTTTAGTCAAACAGGAAAACTAGGTGTTTTCAAGTAGAATTAAGAAGTACTTTGGCATGCATATAGCCTATTGGCACTTTAATAAAATGAATGGATTACCAGTGGTTATTGCTGGAATTAATTGTCTGGTGCCAGTGACCGAATCAAAGATGCCATTTCATAATCTGAGAAGAGCAAGGATAGAGAATCTAAATAAGTTGGCAGAATAGCTTTCACATTTAATTTAACTGCAAGAATCAACTCCAAACAATAAAGTAGCTCCTCATATTGATCTGGTTCCACTTACAGTATTGAAGTCTTTGGAGAGAAAATGTAAATCACAAAAAAATTTCTAACCTGTAACGAACCAATGTTTTGCAGAACTTTCTTTGATTCTTATAAAATCTTTTCCTGAGCCATATGGCTGTGTTCCCCTGGCCAAGAACAGGCAGCTTTGAGTATATATTTTACATTTGGGTAATAATTATAGAAACTTGACATTTTTATTCCTTTAGACTGTGAAGTAGTCTAGGAGAAGTAATGCAAATGACTTGGAAAAGACTCTGTGACCTGAATACACAAATTATTGAATGAAATTATTTGTTATTTTTAACCAAAAACCTAACAAACCTTTGTTTTTCTTCTTCCCATTGGAAGTCAAATGAAGCAGTATACTTTTTTTTTTTTTTTTTTAGATTTTTCACTTAGGGAATTATTCAGCTATCATGTAAAGTAAAACAAGCCAGAAAGGTTATTTTCTTTGAGCATTTTCCCTTCCTTTGAGTACCACCATATAATACTCAAGCTGACCCTGTGACAAACCACATTCTTGAATCATTGCTGATTTCTGCATTCTGGCATACTGCTTCTCTTAACCTGCTTGCCCCTTTAACTGACTCCCTGCTGGGGAGCATCAGAAACACTGAAGGTATTTTTTACCTGATTTCATAAAATCAGAAAACCTCCTTTTTCTGGTACTTAGTGAAGCTTTTGTGAATTCACATTGCTCATAAAGATCCCACTCCGGAATCTAAGCTATTTTAAAAGAGATAAATGCAATTATCTGGGTGGGCAAGAATGTTAGAAGAATACATTGCTTTCTAATCCGAAGCAAAATGCTATAAATCAAAGTGGGTTTAGATGTTAATCTTAATAAATGTGGTCGGACCAGATCAAAATGTAATCTTAATCAATGTTGTCGGACCAGAAACCACTTGCTTGAAATTTTTGGCATTGTTTCTTTGTTAGCGATTGCTCGGCAGACTGCAAAATATGACTGGTTATCTAGCTTTGGGGCAAAACAGTATTGATTTGTTTTCTCTGTCCCATTCTATTTCCGACTTGTAAATTATTTCACTCTGGACATGTCAGGTTCCATTAATAGAAAATACCAGCAGTTTTTTTGGTACAGAATAATTACTTCCTCTTTTACCTGCATTTGTTAATTTAATACTAAAGCCTTTTGACGTTGTTAAAGCCATGTAGTTATATACATATTAATATTCTGTAATGGAAATGGGGCAGATGGTAAGAAACTGTAGTTTAGTATAATGTTATTATAAAATATGAACTGCTTTGAATAATTAAGTTTTTCTGCTAGGAGTGGGAAAGTGATTGTTTAAAATGTGTTATTTATTGTCCATGATTAACAATCAGCTGTCTTTGATTCATTTCATTTCTGATCTTGGGGAAAAACTATAGATGATATAAATCAATACCATTGCAATAGAGAAAGCTATCTTAGTTTTGTTATCTGTCAAATAACATGTGTCTTCTCTATTACTGTAAGTTGAGATCCTTTTAAATATTGCACATAATGTCCCAGGCATTGCAGTTTGGTTTTTCACCCGTTTAAAAACATAATTTGTTTTCATTTTTCTCATCACAGGTCAAAGGACTGACTGCTCTCTTGCGAGGTAGGTGTGGCAGCAAGCAGCTTCCTTGTTTGAGTAACTTCCAACAGGCAAAACAAGAGTTTCCTGCAAACCAAATGTTAACTAATTCATCTCCAAACAATCATTGCTTTGATGGCATCACAGGTTTTCAATGCTCTTTCATAAAATGTTCATGGAAATGTTGGTTTCGTTTAGAAATCTTTGGGGCAGTCCCCCCAAAAAACATAATGTTAGGAGATGAGGCCATTTGTAAACTAAAATATTCATCAGAAACAAAAGTATTGGCTGTGGTACACAGTGAAAAATTTTTGTCATGCAATTTATTCCCTTTGGTGTGCATTGGGGAATTTGGATCCAGTGGAATTTTGAAGGATTACAACTAGATCATTACAGAGATTTGCATAGTATTGATCATATCATTTGACTGTCAGTCTAAGGGCAGAAGGAGCTCTTACATTTGATAATGGCTTTACACTAGCAGTGGATACCTCTTTCCAATTGTCCACCTAGCCACAAAAGATTGTGACAGTTGTATAAGTATTTTGAGGCCATAATACCATTTGCTTCCTCACCTTTGCTCCAGAACTTTTTTGCTGGTAGAAAATGGGACATATAGGTAAAAGATGAAGTCCTTTTCAGATTGATCTAGACATGTAAGATATGTCTGTACATTTTCTTGTCAAAGATATAGAAGTGATATGCAGTAGCCTTTCTCAGAAGGAAACATGGGTACAGAATTCCAAATTAAATGAAAAGCAAATTTTAACTTGGAAGAGCCCCACATTAAGCCTGCCGTCATGTTCCAATTACCAAATGCATTTGAGAAAGAAAAAGAGATGCAGATTAATAACATTTTACTGTGCTGCATTTTTTTAACTGGTTGAGTTCTCATGCTAAGCCATGAACCTTATAAACCATAATGGTTGATTGGTTTGATTCTAGTTTAGCTCATTGTGAACCTAGTCCATAGTTTGATTATTTATTTATTTTATTTATTTATTATTTATTAATCAAATTTCTATACCGCCCTACTCCCGAAGGACTCATATTTAGCCAATAATATATCATAGGTTCTCTAGATTTTCTCAGGCAGCACTGTGCTCTGCTAGATTCAACTCTACCCGGTAGGATAAAAAGCCCTGAAAAAAATATTGAAGTGCTTTTGATTGCCTAACAGAGGAGGGGAGAGATCAATCATACAGAGGTTTTCTTCCATTTTGCCCCACTGACCCCATCTGGTCTGACAGAGAATTGGATTAAATCAGTGAAGAGAATAAACGTTTTGTTATAACTGGGCCTGACATCAATCATTCTATCATAAATGTCACTGCAGATGTGGAAATAATAATTGAAAAAAATGACTTTTTATAGGTCTTCTGTGGAATGTTACAAATCTCCAAATTGCCATTGTTGTTGGCCTAGAAGCAAAGATGTATGTCCATATGGTACATGTTTGTATTTTTTTTTTTAAAAAGGTTAGCTGTTCTGGAATAATTACTTTGATTTATATATCCCTGTGGAAAGAAAGATAAGATATAAATCAAGTAAATAAATAAAATAAAAAAATCAAGCTCAGCTGATAGTTCTTAATTGGGAACTGACACTTGCAGTAATGAAATACGATTCATTGTGGTACAGTATTAAATATAATGGTAGTATTGAGATCAACATTTGAAAATACCTTAAATTGCCTGTGAGAGGAACCTGCATCACCACCATTTTCATTTAATTATTATTAATAATAATTCAACTATTATTATGACTATATTGGAATTCCATTACTATTCCAATCATCATCATCATGATGATGATTTATGTACCACTCAACACCAGCAACTTATGACTTACAATTATCAAAACATCTAAAAACAAAGAAGAATAGCAAAACACAGATAAAAACAGCACAATACAGAAGAACAACAGAGAAAGCATCTGGATTCTTTCTTGATTCTTGATTATTTTTAAAAATACCACAAAATTAAAAGTATGTTTCTTAAGCACAGGAAAGGTTGCTTTTCTTTCAAATTCATCATCCATCTGTTTTGGCAAGGAGTTGAATTAAATAGGACTTTTCCCAGTAACCTTTATTTACAGCAATTCATTTGTCAGAACGGGAATAACTAAATTGGAAGCAAAAGCAGGGGGTAGTCTAGTAGAGCTGATTTCCAAAAAGATAAAATGGGGTGCTCCTTTTTGCTATTATTTATTTAATGATGCAGCCATTTGTATGCCACCCCCTCAGGATTCTAGGTGGATTACACTCATAAAGTAATAAAACCATACACTGAAATAACACTGTAAACAACACATCAGCCAGTTTGACCTATCACCAGCTGCTTCCATTACTTTCAAATTGAGTTGAACATGCATAGCTGAAATCAGATTTTAGTTATACAATCAAGGAACAATGAGCAAGATGACAAATAAATGGCAGGCTGATGGTTCATGTCTAGCCAAATTAACTCAGTAGTATATTGCTACCATGCTCCATATTTGTCATTTCAAGTTCCCCAGTTCTAAGAGAAAGTTGTTAACATTTTTAAAGAATCTATTTATATTATCTGTTTGAGATGAAGTCTGTTGACTACTAATTCTTGCCAAGTGTTGCCTTCTACCAATGGTGCAAAGCTATAGGAAAATTGTTTTATTTAAAGGAGAGTTTGGAAAAACTTCTGGTTGAATCTGAATAGATGGCTTCTGCCAGCCAGCATAGACCATTCTAAGCTAGATGGATCAATATTCTGAATTGTGTTGGAAGAACAGGATCCTTCGTGTTCTCTGTGTTTGTTATTCTGACTGAGTTTCCACTTTCCACTAGACCAGGAGTGTCAAACTCTATTTCATTGAAGGCCGCATCAGGGTTGTTTTTGACCTCAGGGGGGAGGACTGGCCGTGGCTAGGGTGGGCATGGCCAGCTCGACACCACTCGTGTCTGGGGCTCCTGTGGTGGCCTGAGCGCTCTGCCAGAGAAAATGGGCTCCCCAGCTCCATTTTCAGCTGCAATGGCCTCCTGCAACTCTCTGCCAGTGAAAACAGAGCTCCATATTCCACGGGCCAATCCTTCGCTCTTTCCAGGGTGGCCCCTTAGGCCAGATCTAAGCACCCCACAGGCCGGATCTGGCCCCTGGGCCTTGAGTTTGACACCCCTGCACTAGACCATGATATTTAAAGCATAGTTTGTTTGGCAACCCAGGCTCACACAGGAAGTTAAGACCAAAGCAAATCAATCATATTCTGGCTAACCATAATAAATAAACTATCATTTATGTTATCTCACACGCTAATGACACTTTTTATTGAAGTCTCAAAGAGGAGACTAAGAAGAAGACAAGATTTAATCCTTACATTTTTGTCCATCTTCTTTATCAAAATTACTGTTTATCTGACAACATAAACAGCAGGAAAGCAGCTTCTGTTAACTGTTGCTTTCAGTTAATGGATAATACGGAAAAGTGAGCATAACTCCTGGGGTTCTAAGTAAACTTCATGAAAAACAACTGGGCATCAAATTATAGTTGCAAGCATCTATTTGTCCATTGTAGGTGCAAATAAGAATATAATAGTATATACATATAGGCAGTAATTAAGATCAATCTTTTTTTGTGTGTCATTTGCCACTGATTTGGGGCAATAACATCAGGTTAACTATTTATTGTTAGCCATTATGGATCTGTTGTCAGAATAACAAAATTGGATGTAACTATGTAAGATTTTAAAATGTGTGCATTGTATTTATATACTAAAGTTGATAGGACACCAGAGCAGGAAACAAACAGAAGAAGGAAATGGAAATGGAAAACTACCTTATTGTTTTAACAGACTAGTGCTCTGTATCAGTGGCCCCCAATCTTTTGGGCGGCAGGGACTGGTTCTGTGGAGAGAGATTTTTTTGTAGACCAGAGGGGGGTGGCTTCGTGTGCTGCCTGCATCCTGCAGATGGGGCTTGTTTGTGTGGCCCGGTTTCTGGCATGCCATGGACTGGTTCTGATCCACAGACCGAGGGTTGGGGACTCCTGTTCCATATTACGTAGAGATGTATACTTCAGCTAAGTAGTGACTTTGTCTGTGATGGAAAAATTACTACCTGAAATTATAATTGCTATATACAACAAATACTAGTATTAATTGCTATCTCATCCAAAAATTTGTATGGAGTGAGTGTGTCGTGTACTCCAATTTTTTTTTCCTTCAGAGTTATTTTAGAAGTCATAAGTCAGTCTAGAGACAACTCTGTTTTCCCATAGGAAAGATTTCAATCACATCAGTTCAAGGTGTAGTTCCACAGGTCCTCAGGAGAGCCATCCAAATGATTAAATTGAAGTGCCTTGGATCTGTAGATAAATTATAAAGACAAACTAAACTTCTGTGAGTCTTAAGGACTCCTGAGAAATATCATTAAGTTAGCCGCCACCATAGATACCCTGCATAAATCTTCTAGCTAACTTCTAATATCACTACATTTCTTGGTCATTGAAAACTGATCAGAGAAACCCATTAATCCTCTGCCTCAAGTGACATTCTCAGCAGATATGATGGTACTCCAGTATATTTAAAATGAGTGACAAGGTGTTCCACATGAGAACAGCTAAACAAATGTTTTAATGGCCATTCTACTCTTTCTGAGTCTCCTAGTAATATATAAGAAATCACAAACATATTTATGACATGGTTTGTGTTTGTATTTGATGTTATTTCAATCTTATTGAAGCCGTGTTTTAATAAAGTATCATTCAGTTTGAACTTATTCCAGAGAAAATAATTTGAATTTTCCTCACCCTTGTGGCTGTAAATTACCCAGCAGAGCACGCCTTTCTTAGCATGGTGCTGCCTTTAAATAATTTCTAAATGACATTACAGAAAGAAGGGGCTTTATAGTGATGCTCTCTAAGATTGGAAGTAAAAGGTTAAGTATAGCCTTCTGTTAGCAATAAGCCCTGCTGTGCCTGTTTGACCATTATAGTACTTTTATTTTAAATTAGATTTTAAAACTTGGAAGTAAATTAATGGGAATACTTCTTGTCTTTGATTCTTCTCTATTGCCACTTGCTGATGAGCTATTTATATTTCAAATAAATTGATACTTTGATTGTAAATGATTTATTTGAAACATGTTTTTGCTTTCTCTTCCTGTTCTCCCTCATCTGTTGATAATGGTTCATGTGAATTCTTGGATCAACAGCAGACGCAGTTCTACTATAAGAAAGCAGGTAAGAAATTTATTTAAATGACAATAAAATCACTCTATAGTTGTCGGCTGTTACTGAATGTTCTGTTGCTGTAAGTTGTTTCTGGACTCTGGTCTTTTTTGCAGCAGTATTTTGTGGGCTGTTTTAAAAGGAGCAGAGTCCAGAACATGGAAAGCAATTGTTAATTAGTAATTCTTCTTTGCTGGGTGAGATCACACATGAAATATTCTGTCTGGTTCTGGGCACTGTATCTCTGAAAGAATGATGACCAATTAGAGTAAGTTCAGCAGAACACAACCAAGATAGTGAAGGAAACCAAACCCAGAGTAGCTAAAGAACAAGGATCTTATAAGAAGGACAACTAAGGTGAAATATGAAAGCAGTCTTCAAATATTGAAGAGTTGTCACACAGAAGATGATTTATTTTCCATTGCCATGGAGGATAGGGTCCGAAACATTGAGTTAAAACTGGAAGACAGGTATTTCAGCATTTGCTGACTGTTTGAGCTATCAACAGTAGGCTGCCATATGTTATGACAAGTTGTCCTTACTGGAGTGCTTGAAGCAAAAACTCTTAATTGTTCCTACATTGCATAGCGGCCGAATTAAATAATCTCTATAGTACCTTCCAACTTTATTTTTCCTACCTAAGCAGGGGGTTGGACTAGAAGACTTCCAAGGTCCCATCCAACTCTGTTATTCTAAACTTTGCTGATTCTGTGATTTTATAGTAGAAGGTAAGAGGACCGTTGAAAATGTTTGAGAAAAACCAAGAAAATGGATAAGTGCAAAATTTAAAAGAGAGATATATAATCATCACCATATATTGCATAAATGCACAAGAGTTTAATTGGAGAGTAAGATGAAGAAAAAAACCAAAGCCAAATTTATTTTAACGTGATAGAATATATAGTACTATCAGAATATATCAAGAGTCTTTATATTTATTTTATTTATTTACTCATTTATTTAGAGCACTTATACCTTGTAGCTCAGTCAAAAATATCCAGTGAAGTTTGCAGATCAATAATCCCTTCTCTAATATTTATAAACAAAAAAAGCTGCTACATAGAAGGTAAAAGGGACATTTGTCTCTTCTTCTGATACTGCCTAATGACATTTGTGAGGACAAGGCATAACTTGATACTAGATTCCTGAGAAATCAACTAATGCTTACTCTATGTTAGAATTTACTTCACTTACAAATTATTAGCAACAATATTGAAACCTGTTTTGAGATAAGGTTTCATCAGAATCACCAATATCACTTGGTGGAGAATAGCTCAGAATCTGTATTTTATACTGTTTTCCCTGCCTCCTCCTGTTCTCCAAGCTTTATTGGTGAGCAGACATTTATGAATGAAGATCAGTTACCTTTTGGATGATCAGGGAACAATTTAGAGTGAATTGTCAATTTGAAGTAATATATCAACTGAATTGCATAGTACGTGAAAAGGACCATCCTGTGTTCAGTTGTTGCTGTGCATATAACATTGAATCTTAGAGGACCTGGAGGGAGGTGAATACTCAGACAAACTAAAGGCCCCTGCGAATTATCTGTTGATTCGTTTTGAGGCTAGAATTTGCTGAACTTCATTTGAGCCTATCATTTATCTATAGTGCTATAGCTGAATTTTTATTTTTTTGCATAGAACAAATAAATGTGTCTGTGAATGGACACATTGTTCCCTTATCTCTTCCTGCTTGGAATTTTTGAACTTGAAACTGTTGCCCTCTAATGGCTGGAATTTACCTGAGCAGTTTGTTCTTTTCCACTTTGGTTCACCTTTATAACTCACAACTTAACTGCTCCATTTCACTGTAATTGTGTGTTTCAGCACTATTGTCAGCACCTCTTGCATTATTTTCTGGTTTGTTAGGTAGGAGTGTGTGTGTGTGTGTGTGTGTGTGTGTATGTAGGGAGGCGGGAGGGAGATGTACTGTGGCCATAAGATAAATTCCAGTGTCTTTTTGTCCCTATCTGATGACTAATGGCATACTAATTTTAACATACTATTGGAAAAGCTACTAGGCTGTAAAATTGCATTCAGAAGAGCTGGTTTACAATGCTTATTAGCACAAAATATCTCTTATTTGAAGGGTTAAAAGGAAGCTATTCTGGTTCTTTGTCCCTGTGTGTACATATACAGCTGCTTTGCTTCACGGATGGTCACAGCAGAAGTGTTATCTGTACATGCGCACATACACACACACATACACAAACCACTAAGGACAATATTCAAAGCATCATTGCTGATCCTTCCAGAGGAGGAACAGCTTTAATGCTGCATACTGTCATGCTTTGCAAAAGACCTCTCGGCATGCTTTATAGAGCCCTAGAAGCTATAACATATGTTCACGGTAAAGTGAGAAATTGGGTTTCTTTTTTTTTTTTCCTCTTGAAGAACTATTTTGATTTGAGGCTTCACTTGTAATTCGTTGTCATTAAATTATTAGCTTACAGTAAAACATATAGAAATCTTCATTTAATTTGTCCAGAAATTTATATTTTTCTATTCCCAAGTCAATTCTGTAATATAAGTAATGATAAGCCACTATTTGTCTTTTTTGCTAATGACTGTAGTAACAATTTATTTTAAAATAGCAAAATATCTATCAGTTTGAGAAAAACATAGGGGAGCTCTGTTCCAAAATGTGGATTCTATATTCTCTATCAGACTAAAGCAGACTAAAAATAATTGGAAAAGAAACCACTATTGAGACATATCTTTCCTGGGTTGATGACATCAGAGCTGTAAGACAATGATACATGGAAAGATCTTGGGATCCTGAGCAAAGAGATAACTATTAAAGGAGCTGACTATATCCTGAAATAGAAACAATATGTATTTAAATATCCTGATGGTTATTATCACAAAAAGTTTCTTAAGGAAAAAAATCTTAAAATTCTGCCTTAATTTCATTTAGTAGTATCTTGCTGGGTTTTTTTCCTATAAAAGTATTCTTCTTTTGGGCGTTAATAGTCAGTAAACATCACTAACCATATATAAACACTGTATCTATTCCCAGCTTCCCAGTATGTGTATTTATTGAATAATATCTTTTGCAATATGCTCACTGTTTAGCAATCTTACATTTGGAAATAGATGTCCCTTGGTAGACTATTTCAAAGTATATGAAGTTCAGAAATTCATAGTTTCCTTCCTTCCTTCCTTCCTTCCTTCCTTCCTTCCTTCCTTCCTTCCTTCCTTCCTTCCTTCCTTCCTTCCTTCCTCCCTCCCTCCCTCCCTCCCTCCCTCCCTCCCTCCCTCCCTCCCTTCCTTCCTTCCTTCCTTCCCTCTCTCCCTCCCTCCCTCCCTCCCTCCCTCCCTCCCTCCCTCTCTCATTTCTTTGTATTTATCTTTTTATGTTTTCATCACATTTTGTCCATTTTGTCATTCAGGATTCCAGCCATGCAATTCCTTTGGTGGTAGAGAGTTGTATACGTTTCATTAGCAGACATGGTAAGTGTGAAAAGGAAACAAAATCACAGGGTTTTACTTTATTGTTGAGGATTGTGACACAGTTTTAAGGTATTTATAAACAAATGTCGGAAAGATAGACAGTGTGCAGTGTTGTCACTTTTTTATTCATTACTTCCTCTGTTAAGTTTTAGGATTTTTTTGACTTAATGTCTCTGTCAAATGTAACTCAAAAATGCAGTTTGCAGTGGTTATGCCTGGGCCTTTCTCTTCTTTAGCCTTTGCTGGCTGATAAAATTGCTCATAATTAGACAGCATTTGACTGTTGAGCTAATTATCAGTGGATGGTTATTCTTGGCTTTTTATATATATATCTTCACTTTTCTGCTATGCAGCATATTAATCAGTAAATGTTTGTTTTTATGATTTTGCTAGTCACCTACAGTGGAAGAACATAGTAAAAGTCAAACATTGGAGTCCTAGTGGACAACCATTTAAATATGAGCTAGCAGTGTGCAGGAGCTGCCAAAAAAGCCAACACAGTTCTAGGCAGCATTAACAGAGGGATAGAATCAAGATAACATGAAGTGTTAATACCACTTTATAATGCCTTGGTAAGGCCACACTTGGAATACCGCATCCAGTTTTGGTCGCCACAATATAAAAAAGATGTGGAGATTCTAGAAAGAGTACAGAGAAGACCAACAAAGATGATTAGGGGACTGGAGGCTAAAACATATAAAGAACGGTTGCTGGAATTGGGTATGTCAAGTTTAATGAAAATAAGGCTGGAGGTGACATGGTAGCATCTCATAATATCTCAGGTGTTGCCAACAAAGAAGAGGGAATCAAGCTATTCTCCAAAGCTGGACAAGAAGCAATAGATGGAAAATAATCAAGGAGAAAAGCAACCTAGAACTAAGGAGAAATTTCCTGGCAGTTAGAACAATTAATCAGTGGAACAACTTACTTCCAGAAGTTGCGAATGCTCCAACACAGGAAATTTTTAAGAGGAGATTGGACAATCATTTGTCTGAAACGGTATAAGGTTTCCTGCCTAAGCAGGGGGTTGGACTAGAAGACCTCCAGGGTTCCTTCCAAGTCTGTTATTCTGTTCTGTTCTATTCTGTTCAAAGAAACATGCTTTGTTATGTTGTGTTTTGCCAACATACTTCAATTTTGCATCAAAGATTTTTTCAATGTTCTTATATCAAAAGTAATTTGTAATAATCAAGAAGTAATGTTACTTTGAGAGAAATGCCTCTTTGTCACTTAATGACATATAAGAAACTCCTTTCAATTTTAAAGTTTCATCAGGCACTACCCACGCATATACTTGCTCCAATCAGAGTAGGAAGTATGCATTTATCTACATAATAAAGAACTGTTTGTTTAAATCTGTAGGCTGTCACAAGTTAAATGATGCATGGAACAAACACTAATTCACAGGAAATAAGGTATCCTTTCACATAATTGAAAAACAGTGGAGGAAAAGAGAAATATAATAAAGTCAGAGATAATCCAATGTTAAAATAAATGGCCTCAGATCAAAGCTGTACATTTTCTGTAGAGATTTTTGTTTTAATTTCCTTCTAAGCTAATGCAAGCATACCACTATATCCATAGAAGAAGTACAACTTCTATTATGAAAAACCTTTTATGGGAGACTTAGATTTTTCTGTGTCCAGAGTATTCATTCTATAAATAGAAGTTCTCTATTTTATATCAAAGGATTCTTTCATTTTAAAAAAAAAAATCAAAGATTTTAGATCTAAATCACGTATAATAGACCAAATAATATACCATGTATCTCAATCTCTAGAAATTGGATTGCATATATATATGCTGCTGCTTAAAAGAAGATTTGATTGATTTACTTTCAAATGTCTCCTGATTAATCTGAAATCAGGAGAAATCACGCCTGAAAGCCTCCACCAGGAATTGAGTACTAAATTCAAGCAATTTTTTAATTAGTATAATAATTTAATCATTCTATGCACTACAAATTGGGTCAATATCCCATATACAACTGAGTACCAACATTCAGTCTGTTTTCTATTTAAATATTGTTGATTTTAAACTCACCTTAATCCTGTTAGATCTCTAACAGGATTCAATCAATGGAAAAAAAGAAAAAGCAAGCAAGAAAAGCAACTGTTATAAAAAGCTATATAGAGGCTAGACTGTCACAGAAACCACAAGCCTTAGATGAATTGCACTCTAACCAAATAAACATTGGTACAGGCTTGGCCTTCACATAGAGAGGTCACCACAATCAGAGAATTATTTATCTTGTGTCTACATGTGATGTGCAAATCTTCATAATTAGTTATAAATAGCCATCTCTGACAGATTTAAAAACTGAGGCACGTGTACAGAGAGACAGGTGCTACATGTTGAGGACCCACATATATGCAGTACTGTGCAGTGAGACATGTACGGATCTGTACATTGGAGAAACAAAACAACCACTTTACAAATGTATGGCACAACATAGGAGAACAAACTCATCAGGATAGGATTCAGCAGTCCATCTGCATTTGAAAGACAAAGATCACTCTTTTGAAGACAGCAAAGTCCACATTCTGGACAGACAGGAGTTCTGGTTTGAAAGAGGGATCAAAGAGGCTATTTACATTACGATTGAACAGCTCTCTCTCAACAGAAGGCGAGGGATATGACCCTGCCTATCTCCTGTTTACCACAGAATCCTTTCAGCAGTTCCAAGAATGTTCCACACCCATTTGCACTATTCAGATGACCCTGAGGCACAGATAAAGCTCCAGGTGGCCTCAACGACTTTCAGAAAGAGTGCTAATGACTAGATGACTTCAAGGAATATAAATCTTTCCATCCTCCACCATTCAGTCAGAACTGAAGAAGTTTCTTGGACAAGAAGCGAAACATCTTCAAGGATAAACAAAGTCAAGTTGCCATTTGAAAAAGCATTTTTGTGACAACCATGACCTGGATGATGGAGAACCTTCATAGATGTTGAGGACCCACACTGTCTAAAACAGGCATAGGAATCATAAGATTCTAAGAATGTTTTTGGATTGGATTTATTACTCGCTATGGCTTAGATGATGTAAAAAAAAAGTCAATTGTTTCAAGTTTGGAAGTGATTGAAAAATTATTCAGTATATATGTATGTATTTATTGTGTGATTGTGATCACATACCAACATACATGTATATAAATATATACATATGTAGCATTTGTGTACAACAAATATATATTAATTCTCTAAATCTATTCTGGAAGACATTTTGTTTCAATTTATTTAAAGTACAAAATCATTGAATGCTATAATTAGTGACTGTGTCATAGTTTCCTCTATCAAAAAAAGATGGAAGGGTATCATTTGTATAGTTCTTTCAGTTTTCATGGATTCTTCCTATTTTCTTCCCAGGACTTCAGCATGAAGGAATATTCAGGGTATCTGGATCTCAGGTTGAAGTGAATGATATAAAAAATGCATTTGAGAGAGGTAAGAGCAGTTATGATTGCCTCTGCATTTGCTTTTGTACTTCAGGATTTAAGAGATGCTAAGACTGAAGTTGCAAAATAGGACAAGATCTTCTTTTCCATGGTTCTCATGCTGCTGTAATGAGTATATTCTCCATATCCTTGCCTTTCCCACTCCTCAATGCTCAGTAATCTTTGGCATCTAAATCCCTTAGGTTTCTGCTTCTTGTCACATCACTATATAAACATTTCAGACTGAAGGTGTATGGAATTTCTAAAGGGCCTTATAAATTATTTGAAATTGCTTTAAGTTATGACATTTTCATAAGTAAATGGGGTAGTGACAGCAGGAAGTTCATGAGGGGAAAGTTCAGTGGAAGTGATTGAAGGGAGAACTCTTCAAATCTGACATAGGTTTCCTCACATATTTTGTCCCACAAAACTCTCATATAAAATTCTCATATTGCATCCTACATTGAAAAGAATGCCATCCTACAATGAAAAGAAAACCATTCAGTGTATGGTTGTGCCTTTTTTAAAAACACTAGTTTCAGGAGGGGAGAATTATGAATGAAGCTGTTTGAAAAAATGGTTCAGGATTTTGAATATGCTGTGATTTTGGCTTCTGTTTGTATTGATTTACACCATGATCTGGTTCTTTTATAAATGTTGTTTACCTTTTAATCATTTGTATGCTGCCTGTTTTGTAAATTGGGTGATATATAAATCATTTAAATTAATTGCATTTGAGATTTTCATTAATAAATATGGTCATGAAAAGATGGGATATTTTTGTCTGTGAGACCGAAGGTAAATGTATGCAAAGTATAAATACTGCATTTTACAGAACAAGGTACTGTAAAGATACGAAGGTACATGTTGAGAGGTGTAAGGTATCAACAAGGAGAGGTGTTGGTACCTTATACCTCTCAACATCCCCAGTCAACATAGCCAAGGATAAGGACTATTGAGTTCAGCAACAGCTGAAAGTGTACAGATTCCCAAGATTCTAAGAGACACATCAAATTGTTCTAGCATTATTATGTAAATATTATATTTAACTAAAAGAAAGGTAAATAGTTTACCTATAAAACAGAACATATATTTACCGACAATGCAGTCATGGAAGCAATTCCTCTTCTGTCTGATTTTTCAGTGAAGGATTGCTCTAAATTACAGATCACCTTTCTTTGATGCCAGTACAGTACAAAACACTAACTTTTCTACATCCATTTCTCATGGTCTTGTCAAAGCACATGCAGTACTAAAACAGTAAATGCTATTAACATTTCTTGTTCTATCTTGATGAGAATTAATGTTGAGGAAAATTCTCTAATTAATTATCCTGTGAAGTATTATGATAGAACCGAGTTGCAATGGTTTCGGTTACATTAAGAAAATTAATTATTTTCAATAGTGAGGTTTTAACAGCAATCCTTTCTTTCTGTAGCTCTCATGATAGCAATAGATGGATTCCAATATGTCAAAGAAGTATGTGCTCCTGCTTTTCAGGCATGATTGATTATTGACATTGTTCATTTGACATTTTTGCAAACATTCTGAAACCAGAACATCCCAAAATAGAACTTTCATATGTTTCATTTTAAACCTCTTTGCCCCAAATCAGCCTTTGCATTACAGTATGTATCCCCTTAGTTAGAGTGTGAATTGCCTGTGTTGCAGCTCCATAACATCTACTAGTTTGAACTATGTTGCTAAGAGTAGAGTAGAGTAGAGTAGAGTAGAGTAGAGTAGAGTAGAGTAGAGTAGAGTAGAGTAGAGTAGAGTAGAGTAGAGTAGAGTAGAGTAGAGTAGAGTAGAGAAGAGTAGAGAAGAGAAGAGAAAAGCTTTTTCGGTGAAGTCTGATTAGACACACAAGGAATTTTTCTACAGTGCAGAAGCTCTCAGTGTATATGCAAAACAACAGGGTAATAATCATAATAATGATACCAATAAAAGGGGGTAGTAGAGAAAATGAGAAGGATAATAATAGTGCTACAGTAGTGTTAGCCTTATGCTGGATGCCATTTTTAAGAATGGGAATTTATTAATTTATTTTTGAGCCAAATATCTGTTTTCATTTTCAAAACAAAATATTTAATTTTCCTTCCCCCCATATTTTGCAGTTTGTTTGTTTTTTAAGATGTGCAAATATCCTAATTACTCTATTGTTATTGTCTTTGTTTTGTGGTAACCAGGGGAGGATCCACTGGCTGGAGACCAAAATGACCATGATATGGATTCAATAGCGGGTGTCCTAAAGCTCTATTTTCGTGGACTAGAACATCCCCTTTTCCCCAAGGAAATCTTTCATGACCTGATTGCCTGTGTCAGTAAGTAGCACAAAAATGCACCTGCCAGTTAGCAATATTGCAAGGAAATAATTTATATGTGTGTCTTTGTGTATTAATACTGGCCTATAAATAGATGCAAACAAATGAAGATCTTTGAATATTTAAAGTAGAAATTATTTTCTTCCCTTGCTCATTTTCTCATGAAATAGTGATTATATCTAATCTCGACTCTGTGGTGTGTTGCCATCCTATTCATCTCTGCTGAGTATCTTTTCTTTAATCCTGTGTATTTTGGACTTAATGCTATCTTTTAGAAACCATACCACTGGCTTCTCAGAACATTCCTTAATCCTGACAGTATCTCACAGGAAACTAAGAGATCTGAAACATGTCAGTTTGCTTCTGAGATAGTAAATATACAAAATCGGAATAAAACATCATTGTTTGCGTCTCACTGGGTCATAAACTAATGGAGCAATTTGTATTTCTCTTAATCTTCATCTGAATCCCACCTCACATTGCTGTTAATCTGGGGCTTCTATTTTGATTAACTGATTAAAAGGGTGATTCTGTGTGCTGCCCCAGTAGACTCTAAGTGATAATTCTAGCTTGTAAGGCTAATGCTGATAGAATAAGATTAAGGATATAGATTTTAAAGATCTGTCTCTCTCTCTTTAAACAAAAGCTTTTTTTTTTTTAATGTTGAAACGTTTGCCTATTTGGGGGTTTGATCCAGTCCTTCTTAGCTCCCTCATCTCACCATATTATTAGCTTATCCTTCCCAATGTTATTTCATTTGATAATGCTAAAGAAAAGTGACTGACTAGGTAAATTAGTAAACTAAAAATAATCCAATGCAGAACATTTTTACTTTAAAGGGAGTCCTTTAAGGAATTGTTTTGCCCTTTTTTTGCCTTTATCATTTGAAGGCAATGTAAGATCAATATGACTTCATCATTTACTTAATTATCTATTTGAGAAACAGAAAGACACTAACAGCTGTCTGTTGGTCAGCATCTACCTTAAAGATATTAGACAATCTTCACAGTATTTTTCTGCAGCATATAGGAAACAAATTAAGCTGGTAATTTACACCTCATCATTTCAAGGGTATTAATACTTTCCCTGGGACTGATAGGTTTACAGTGAACGTCTTGGTGCTGACTCACTTCTATAACAAACAGTGAATTCATTGTCAGAGCATAAGGACCATGCTGGAAAAAGCCTTTGAAGTAAGATATAGGAGAGCTCCTCTTAAAAAGATCTGCAGTTTCATTTTCACAACAAATGAGTCTACACAGTTCAACTTTGTTAGATGAAAAGAGCAGCTTGTTGCCAAATAATTCTGAACTTCCAGAGCCAAAGCTTTGTGCTGCCCACTTTTTTCCCATTATATTGCTGTAGACATAGCTCTTTGTCTCATCATTCAGGAATGCTAATCTGCCTGTGGAATATTAAGCTAAAGATTTCTTTTGAAACACCCACCTTAAGAAACTAAGTGTAATAGACTATCTGATGTAATTGCTACAATGGATAGTATTCAGTACTTCCACACTTGACCAGCTTCAGATATTCATGTCCTGTTCTCTTAAATCAGAATACAATGAAACGTTTCGTACATCTTCACATAGACAAAACATTCTAAAACTATAATTCTCAGTAGTTCCATTCTGAAATTTGGAGAGAAAAATGTCCAATTACCAAAAGCAAAATTATGAGGTTGCTCTCTGCCACTACCCTTTGCATTCCAGAATGCTTCCCCCTATCTCAGTATGCCTTTTTAAAAAATTAAAAAATAAAACAACCATACACGGATCAATAAAGCAATGAGGGAGATTATAATACATAAAAGCAGAAGCATAAAGCATAGATATGTGATTTGTCCCACATAGGGATAATATTAAGACTTTACATTTTTAACTGTAATTCTAATGAAGTTGTGGATTTGGATATTTTTCCATATCCATATTCATCTGTATAGATGAAGGTGATTTATTAAGAATATTTTCTTGATTTCACAAAAAAATTGGAGACCAATTGGGATTTCTTTAATATTTTTACTGCTATACTGATTTTATTCAATTCTTAAAAAATACAAGCATAGAAATATGCTCTTAAATTTTCAAATGTTTTGCTATAGATAACTTGCCAACCAATAAAAAATATTTCATTAATTTCTTGTGTTGCTTTATTTTGTATAGAAATTATTATTTAAAAGGTCATAAAAGCCATACTAGTATTAATTAGTAAAGACTGTTGTGTAATTATTTCAGATTCTCAAAACTTTATGTCAAAATGGAGACTAATCCAAAGATGTTAATATCTACCAATTTGATTATAGTCCTTTAAACTCAGTCTAGAAACAGACTGATAGTGTAGTGTAAGGTAGTGTAAGATGATGTGGTACCAACTATGACTAATTTTTATAGTTGGCTTTAAATGAATTGATGAAATTGACTAAAGAGAAAATAGCAACTGTCAGCCCTTCAAGGTAGTCCAGACCAGGAGTTCAAAGATATAGTACTACTTTTATTATAAGGTCATTGTATCAGAATCTTGCAAGTCTGAAAGTGATTCTCCTCTTTCTGCCTTTATTTTCAAGAGAAGTATAATCACTCACTGTTTAGTGGCTTCCTTTAGTGATCATTTGCAAATGCAGTATTTTTTTTTATCCTTTTCTGACCAACATGTACACTTAACATCCAAATGTGTGCCCCTGACAAGAGGGCATGCCAGAGGAAAACTAATGCTGATGTAGCTTTTATGAGAACTTTAGCTAAACAAAATGGCAACAGCCAGTGTTGTGGCAGCATCTCTCTTTCACACACACTCACTCACTCCGTCTCCTCCTCCCCCCTCTCTCTCCCCTTTCCCCCTCTCCCTTCCCCCCTCTCTCTTGTATTTGCTTAGGAACCATTTTGTTTCTGATTTAACGAATGAATTGTACTCACTGAATAAGGAGAAGGTGTGGGGAGGGTTGAGCTTGAGAGACTTCCTCAAATTACATTCCTATTTTAGATTCAGATTTCTCTTTTGACTGTTTTCTGGATTGCAGCTCTTCCTGTTCCTCAAGATTATTCTCTTATCTCATTATAGTACCTTAAAAACAGCCAAGCAAATTTTCAAGAGAGCCTGTTAGGTTTGATGGAAGAATTGGGTGCGATATTGAAGAGAGTTCTCTGGTTTTAAATTATGTTGCATTCCATATTTTAAGCAATTTGAACATTCTAGTTGGTTAAAAGTGATTGCATTGCCTCATTAATAGCAAATTGAGACTGTTGAACCATTTTTATCTCTTATCTTCCCCGTCCCCTGTTCTGGTTGACATATTTCCATAGAAAGCAGTAGGCTGTAAATCCTAATCAGTTTCTCCCAAAAAACCTGCTTCTACAGCATATACCAGGGGTCCTCAAACTACGGTCCAGGGGCCGCATACAGCCCACCGAAGCCATTAATCTGGCTTGTGCAGGACCACGAGGCTGCCCCGCCCACATCCACCCGCCAGCCCCCATCCTTCGGCCGAGCACAGGTCTTACGTTTCCAAGCCCCAGGGGCTGGAACTGGAAGGTAAGGCTAATATTTTTGGCCTGCAGAGTGCTACTAGAGAGCCAAGGTGGTGCAGGCTACTTCAGCTGACTGCTAGCTCCAGTTCGGCAGTTCAGATCTCACCGGCTCAAGGTTGACTCAGCCTTCCATCCTTCCAAAGTCAGTAAAATGAGGACCCAGATTGTTGGGAGCAATATGCTGACTCTGAAACCACTTAGAGAGGGCTGTAAAAGCACTATGAAACAGTATATAAGTCTAAGTGCTGCTGCTATTGCTACTGGAGGTGAAAAATGGGGCGCACAGACGCCCCGGGAGGCCAAGAAACAGCCCATTTTAATCTGTTTTTGGCCTGAAGAGTGTTTCTAGAGGTGGGGGAGGTGAAATAAGGGGCGCATGGTTTTTGGCCTCCCCCACTTCCAGTAACACTCTGCAGGTGAAAAACACAGCGCATGGAGTCCTCCTGGGGCATCCGCGCGCTCCGTTTTTCACCTCCCCCACCTCCAGAAAATAGAGAGAGACAGAGAGAGAGAGAGAGAAAAGGAGAGTGGGAGGGAAAGAGAGACAAGAGAGAGAGAGAGACTTGTTGATTGCAAGCTCCTTGGGGCTGAGAAGAATTGCTGCAAAACTGAGTTTCCTGAAGTGGACCACTAGACTCCTAAACAACTGAAAAATGATCTAGTAAAAAGAAAAGTCAACCAAAAGAGCAACATGCAAACAAAAGCAAATAAAACACCCCCAGGAGCAAAACAAATTAAAGTTTAATGTGTGTCCATTGTTTAATGGACTGCTAAATTGGCCATGCCCACCTAGTCACATGACCTAGCCACGCCCACCCAGTCACATGACCACCTAACCACACCCATCCAGCTGGTCCAGCCCCCAGCAGTTTGAGGGACCGTGAATTGGCCCCCTGTTTAAAAAGTTTGAGGACCCCTGGCATATACAGAGCTCCAAAACATTTTTGGAAGTAAAAGTTATGCTTGAGATGACCACATGAGGCATTGCAGCTTGTTCCCTAAATTAATAATAAACAAATGTAAACATTAATAAACATTCTGCTTGGGTGTGAAGCCTGGTGGAGAATGGCAGGTGCCCATAAAGGAAGGAGTAAAGGAGGGGTTACATACAGATGATATCGCTCAACCATATTCTGCATTTTATATTTATTTTTCTATTTAAAAAATACTTATAGACTACCATTAAGGGTAAGAGCAGAAGCAAGGAACTCTCCAAAATAAATAACAGATACTGCAAAGTTAAATAGTAATGAAAATAATGGTGCTGAGTAGAACAAAAATATCCCCACTCCCCAAATACCATCAGAAATCATATAATGCATTGGGCAGTCCAATAAAAATGCAAGAAAAGCCACCAAAAACAAATAGTTCTTTGATGTTTTTCAAAAAGCCTATGTCAGGAATTCCTGGCAATGCATTCTTGAGATTTAGGAGCCATTGCAGAAGTTCTTTCCTTGTGCCTACAATTCTAATTGCTTTCAGCAAGCAGACATGTAACAGGAATTTTCGGTTGATCTCCTTAAAGTACAGGCAGGCTCTTAGGAGGTAAGGATTACATCATATAACTTGGTTCCAAAGATTAGTTTTAAAATTTAAACCAGCACATTAAAGTAGGCTCAGTGCAATTGGTATTGTGTACATCCCCTTAATCAATCTCAACAATATCATTGGGGCAACTACATTCTGCCCTGCACCAGTTAAACTTGTTGAATTCCCTTTAAAGTCAGGATCCGGCCAGGCAGAGTTCAGCACCTGATGGATAAAGTCGCTCGCATTCGTTGGATCCCATGCATATGAGATGCCCGGGGAGAGGTGTTGCCCTGGTATCTGGGAACAGTTTGATCCAATTGGCCCTGATGAAGTGGACAAGGCCCTTGATGCTGTCAGTGCTGTCAGTTAGATCCTTGTCCCTCCTGAATGGTGAAAGCTTCCAGGATGGTGACTAGCGGATGGATCCAGATAGTGATTAATGTATCACTAGAGAAGGGAATATTTCAGGAAGCTTTTAAGCAAGCCCTGATCCGCTCCCTCCTTAAAAAAAACCCACCATTGGATGGATCCCACCTGCCTTGACAATTTCGTCCAGTTTCCAAACTCCCATTCTTAGGGAGGGTCGTAGAAAAGGTGATGGCCTGGCAGCTGCAGAGGATCCTGGATGAAATGGATTATCTGGGGCAAGTCTCTTTTTTTTACCTTCATAATCACATTGCTAACATGCAAAAAAACAACAATCACCCGTTTCCATAACACTTCTGCTATGCAGTGAATTCTCAGTGCCTCAGCATGTGATAAAATAAGATTTACACATGTTCAAACATAAAAATGTTCAAATATCAGATTATTCTTATAGCTGTGAAAATGTCAACCAGAATTTAGAGTAGTGAGCTAAAGTGTGACCAAGGTATTCTGTTTTAATCATATGGTCTGAACGATTGTCTATGTAGCTGTTCTCTTTTTTTTTTAGCAATGGACAACCTGCAAGAGAGAGCTCTGCACATCCGAAAAGTCCTGCTGACATTGCCTAAAACCACATTGATTGTAATGAGATACCTCTTCACATTCCTCAGCCAGTAAGTGTTCAAGTAATTGACTACTGTAGCTATTATATTGGTATTCTGAAGGAAAATATTAGAATCTTAAAGTTGAAAGACACTTTGGGGGCTGTCTAATCTTGCATGAACTTTATAGCTAAAGCATCTCCAACAGAAAGTTGTTCTTTCCCAGCTTGAAGATCTTTATTGAGAAAGAATTCACTCAACTTCCTGCTGGTGGTTTTATTATCATTTTTTCTTCTTCTTCGCATTATGGATTTTTTATAAGTTTCAGCTAAAATCCTTTCTACCAGAAGAATTTAAGGTGGATTGAAATCCTCTTTTATAGGGCTGCAGGGTAATCTGAAAAGTTAACTATCATAAATATGGTCCCTTAGAATTGTTCTGTTGAATCCCAAAGATTCCTATTTAATTGGCCTCAGGAACGGAACAATATCAATATTAGAAAGCGAAATATACAGAAAAGTGTAATGCCCATTTCACTGTTACGGTGTTTTAAACCATTCTCAGAAATTGCATCAGAATTTTGTATCCTGCTTAAATTACAAAGGTATATTTGCTCATTTGCTCAGCAAGTATTTTCCTCTAGTACTAGGAACAGGAGAAAATAATTTTGCAGACAGTACAAATATTTGTACAAACCCATGTTTGACTTGCTTTAAGATGTTACCCTTTTAATTCCTGAGATTTCACTAGCCAGATGCATGTGATTTCAGTTCTGCTTTTACAGCCAAGAGACTTATTTTAAGAGAAAAGGGCAGGCTGACATTCTAATGTATGTATCCATTAACTAGTTTCCTGCCAGATATATGGGGAATGTGTAATTCTGCTGTTTGTAGGCAGTATTTTGTATTTGGAATATTGCATGCTTGGTTTCATGTGTCTCGCCTACACGGAGATACTTCTGTGCATTTATGCAGTCTTTTTATTAGTATTTAAATGAGGCACAATATTGGAATTTGTGCTTACAATATCATGAGCACCTTCCTCACTGTACTATAGATATTAAAATGATTCCTATAAAAGTTTTCGTAAAGGGTATTTCTGTACTCTTTCTCCAAATAGGCTATTCACATACTGTCACTGTCTTTCCTCTCGTTTGTGCTCTGGTACAAATTTTGAGGGTGTTGATGTTGACAGTACACATTATGGCATAGTTTAGAAGCATGTAATTCATGCTAAAAAGGACAGAGGGGAGAAAATCCCAAAAGATGTCTTTAATAAAGTTATTTATTCATTTTTAGGGCTGTCATTGGAGAATTTATATACTTCTAGACAGCTAATGCTAGGTGCTTTTACTGGAGTAATTTGTGTAAGTAAATAAATAAATCAGTGCCTAGATAAATGGCAGCATCTAGCTGATCTTGATTACAATAGTTTTGAAGAAACAAACAAACAGGATTCCTTGAATGGGAGACCATTAGGAAATACCTGATTAGAAAGTACCAGATATCTTCAAAATAGGCAGAGACAAACCATTTCTTTTTTTGTTGCCAAGAAACAAAATGGATATATTTATAAAATCATCAGGAGGTGATCTCAACTCAAAGGATGTTTTATCTTTAAGCAAATAAATACCCCTAAGCAGACTGCTGGGAAAGATATTTTCTTAAACTACAAGACAGGTGGCTGTTGGTATATAATCCAGGGGTACAGCTAAGGGATTTCTCTTTTAGATATATCCTCTGATGTTTATATTGTTTATTAAATCTTAATGCTTACCCTGCTCCAGAAATGCAGCTTACTCACAAGATAAAAAAAGATAGAGTTAATGAGCCATGTAGCAAGCTCTTAGGCTTCCAATGCTGCACTAAAAATCTATATCTTTGTAACTTTATCAAAAGATATATATTTGGGGGGGGGCTACAACTGTTGGGGCAGTATATTCCCTAGGGATTGGGCCACCATAAAAAAGGCCCGAGTTCGAGTCCATCCCCACAATTTCAGAAGACAGAATCATTTTATTCTTCCAAAAGAACTATTTCATTCTGCCTTTCCAATATTCTGCAAATATTCTAATTAAAAAACATGGAGTGAAGTAGCTTGAATGTTATCCAATGTTACATATGCATGGGAGAAGCTGAAGGTCAAGTGCTAGATATTGAATTTTGTTAGCTAGCCAAGTTTATTCTATTCTTAAAGATAAATAAATAGCAATGTACTGGATTTCTGGCATGCTTCCTCTGTGAGTTTTGTAGGGAGAGGTACAGTTAAATATATGACAAATTATTCAAGTAAAATTACTTTTTACATTGAACACATTTTTCTCAGCTAAATCCTGATTTCAGGCTGTCAAACCCAGTTCTTATTGAAAGGTTATGAAATGCTTTCAAGTTAGATTCAAAGTGCTGCTTAAGTGTGGAGTAAGAGTGTATCTCCCTTTGTTCTTTGGAGTTTGAAAGGTGAAACATCAGCAACTGAACTGTGGTCTGGGCAGTTGAAAATATTATTTTATAAATGACAGTAGTGGAGTATGGAGGATGTAGGGGTAAGCTTTCCCAACCTTTAAAGCAAAGCTGTTCTTCTGAGCCTTTTTGTTTACCTTCAGAAATTTCCAGTATGTCAGACTGACTAATGCTTCAAATGCCTATGATTGACATTCCATGTTGAGCATTGACATGAAACTTTTAGTGTTCTGTTTGAAAAAGAATGATATTTTGGCTGTGAAGAATGGATATAAATTGGGGGGGAGGGAATCAAAGGGGTGTGTTAGAATCCTTACAGTGTTGTGCTGTGAACCATGCAGCATCATTTTCAGTCACACTTTCATCTGCTTCTTGGCTCTTTATGAGGTGTGGCTAGTGCAGCTGTTCTCTAGGCAGGGGGCATGCAACAAATGCCAAAAAAAATGCTGGCAATAATGTGCAGCCTGCACTAAAATGAAGCTAGATGGTGAGTCTTCCATCCCTCATTACACACAGACACACGCATACACTTTTAACAAATGTTCTCTGTGTTAATTGAACATAAAATGAAAATTGTTCTCGCTATTAATTAAAGAAATCCATGTGCTATCCAGTAGAAAAATGTTCTGAACATCTTCTGCTACAGAAACATCATCCTTACAAAGAAAATTAAACTTGTTATAAGGTATCAAATGCAGAAAAGCTCTCTCTCTCTCATCTTCTGTATGTAGTCGATTTTAAGCGTAACTTTAGTTGAGTAGTCTCAAGACACCCTTGCTACTTTAGATCAGATTTCTATTATAGAAAATTACTCTAGATGTGGGAGTTTGGGATATTGTTCTCTATTGCCACTCTGTTCTCTTTTTTTCCCTACAGTTTATCTCAGTTCAGTGAAGAGAACATGATGGACCCCTATAATTTAGCCATCTGCTTTGGACCCACACTGATGTCAGTGCCTGAAGGCCATGATCAGGTCTCCTGCCAAGCTCATGTTAATGAGCTCATCAAAACTATAATCATACAACATGAGAATGTCTTCCCAGGACCAAGAGAGATGGAGGGACCTGTATACACCAGGGGTGGAAGCACTGAGGATTACTGGTACGGTAGGATGTAAAGGGAGAGAAGTGAAGGGAGCAGTGTGCTACTTCAAAGTGCTGGTTCCAGGATTTATCCTGTTTTTGTTATCTGTATTGTGTAAAGACAAAATGGTTGGAGAGACTTAAATGCAACCAGGTTTGCCACACTAAAAATATAGACCTCTTGGATTTGGCAGAAGGTATCTGGCATGATTACACATTATTATATTGTAGAAAAGTAATCCAGTCAGACTTGTTCATGAAACTGTCTAATGGTATTATGGTGATTACCATAGCCAGATTGTGGAAATATTGTACCGGCACACTGCCTGAATCCATCATTGACATCCATCACTTTTCTCAGCATGTCTTGCGCAGCTTTCCTTCAGAGGCAAAGTTGATAGCAGGTGAGCCAAAAAAGCTCAAATTGGTTTAATTTCAAGGCAACATTGACAAGGGAGACAACCTTATTTTCTCCCTAATACCACACACAAGAGGCCTGTTTGTGCCTTTGTTCTGAAGCCAACATTTGCAAACAATTCGACGGGAGTAACCTTTTTCACCAGGTGAATGCGGAGGGGGATACTGCAGTTATAAACAGGAAAGGAATTGTTTGCTCCACTCATTGAAAGGGAGGCTGTTAAAAATGATCCCCTCCCCCAACAGATTCTGTTGCACTTTTGGGCAATCAATTATGTTGGTTTCATTTTTCTTCTTCTGAAGTATCATCCCAAGGCTGCAAAAAAATTTATTTTCACATTTTCCAGAAAAGAAACCCATTCCACCAAGTTGGAGTCACTCTATTAGCTGCCAATCTTAATTTTCTTTATTTCTATTGCCTTTCCCTTTGTTTAAAGATTAATGTCTCTAAGTTGATTATAAAATGGTCTCAGAGCTATAAAAATGAGCTTCTGGTAATGTCTTTATTTGGTGCCTGTAGGATATCATGCATCCTCAGCAGGGGAACAAGGTCTGGAAAATGGGTTTCTACTGCTTCAGCTGTTCAAGTTTTAACAAATGTTCTAAATTATGATAAACAGTAAAGGAAACAGAAGCACCTACTGTGAACAATTGGCTCAAAAATTTCTTTTGGGTAAATAGATTATCTATAACCATGGACCCTTCTCATTGCACTGGAATAGAATTAAATCTTCCAAAGAGGTTTGCCAAGACATTCTAAATGTTGTGTAAATAAATTTGCTTAGTTGTAATGTTATTTCTGACTTGACATTTACCTGTATATACTATATTAAGAAAATAAAATACATTTTTGGAAAAAAAAATAATTGGAGGCCAATATAAAATATTTAATATTTTTGTGTGTTTTTTGCAAGCTGAGTGTCTCTAAATGGTAGTTTCAAAAGCAATTTAATTTCCATTATTCTCCATAGTTTATGTTCTGCTTAATTTACATTTCTAATACCTTGGATGTAATATGTTTGCTCCAGACCCCCCACCCCCCACCCCAAAAAAGGAACGGCTATGAGAGAAATAAGGCACTGAATCTTAATATCTCAGAACTGGATGAATCACAAGTCCAAATAATTGAGGGTTCTTCCCTGAATAACTCTTTTTCAACAGTAGATCAAGGAGTTCTTGCGAAGCAGTGTGCTTCTTGGGACCGTGAAGTTAATGTTAAGCAAGACCCATCTTCTTGCAGTGAGACTTATTGGCTGCCAAATGCATGAGGGCTTATTTTAAGGAGCTAAAACAAACCTTTCATTTCTCCCCTGCTTGCTGATGAAACATGTATCCTCTAATTCCCAGGCCACCTATAATTATATTACTGCTGATGTATTTGTGGATTCTAAATTTCTTTGGTCTTCCCTAAACCTTGCAGTGATTAGCACTCACAGCAGGGTTACCATTTTTGAGCTCTTGCCTCTACAATACATGCTGAATCATTAAGTATCCAGCTGACACTACCAGGTTTGATACACGCTCGAAGCAAGAGAGATCTTCTAATTTTCTGTGTTTATTTTTTCCCCTATGGTAAGAAGATTAAGAAATAGTGTAGAATCTAAACTAAAAATTAGATCTAAATCTTGTATCCAGCTAAAGTGATATATTAACCACAATAAAAAACAAAAACAAAGTTCAATGCATCCCTGTTACTCTGCTCTAGGAATCATTTCAATCTTGTTTGTCTGATTTGAGGGTACTGTAATACATCACTGAATAAATCTCTGTGCCATGTACTGCTAAAAAGAAGAAGAAGAAAAGAAATAGTGTAGAATCTGAGGTTTGGTGTCTAATCCTTTCCACTGGCAAGGGAGAGTTCAGAAAGCAGCAAGGAGTATTTCTAGAGATGCCTTTAGATTAGTAGTTTGCTGAATTCATACTGTGTTAAATCAACCAATTTTAACTGAAGATTAAAAACAAAATTATATATGATCCCTAAGTGAAAAATACAAAGTTTGAGCAAATTCTTTATCAAAACTTTCTTAAGCTAAATGCACAAAAAGTAGTTAATGAAGATAGACAGCAAAACAACCAGTAATAGACAGTTCATAAGCAATATTTTAACTCTGAATATAAAAGGTATTTTCATACTGTAGTTTTGTCTTTTTCCTGCATTTTAAATTATATAGCATTAACTTCTTTCACTTTGAGAGTGGTACTAATATCACTTAGCCATTTTTTCCCAGGTACCACATATATCCATAAACATGGCAACCTTATGCACTTAATCAATATTTATGGAACAAATTGTACTGAACATTTTGATTCTGAAAATCTTGTGAAAATGGTGGGTTTAGTCTCTGATGAAGTTGTAATGTCCATAATATCAGGATACAAGTGTGCAGTTACCCAACACAACTTTAAGATGAGAGGAAAGACTACTATGTTCCTAGAAGGAAACTTAATCATAAGAACACATTCTACATTCTACAACTCTTTCTTCAAAGATTAAGAAATTCAAGATATTTCTTCTGTGCAAAGTAATTGAATTTGGAAAATCATCAACTTTAGTAACTGGTCACCATCTGTGATGCCTCATAATTATAACACTGCTTGGATTTCATAGTCTTGCAGCAGGAGTCTGGTAATAGCTAAACAAATTCGCTTTAAAGGGAAAAAACCCCATATTTTTCCACTTGTAATTTCTGTTTGTTATTCTTCCCTATCAGCATATAAATAAATGGTCATGTAAGAAAGAAAATATATATTTTACAGAAAGGAAGCATGTCTCAGTAAAATCTCAACTTGAAGTGTATTTTTTTTCTGCATGTCATTACATTTTAATTATATACTTTATTTAAAATTAATTAAGAAATTTCAGTCACTAGTTTTATATATTATATTCTGCCTTGGAAAATATAGAAACCTAATTTAATACATAATCTAACATAATTGAAGGTGCAGAATTTGAGGGATGCTAAAATGTTGTGCGTTTCTATGCAGTAATTGCAATTACATTTTATTAAATGTGTGTACAAATGCTAATAAATACACTTTTATTAAAATAGCTAACAAAAATGCCTAACAGTACAATAGGAAGAATGTTACTATAAGTTGCTAACTGAAAAAAATCAATTTATATTGATGGTATGAGCTCTTTTGATTTTTCTTTTACTCTCAAGGTACATGATTGGTGAAGTCACCCAGAATACACTATGGATACCAATATTTTTTATTCCTTCAGCAAAGGGGCAAAATGGATGCCTGAAATACTGCAAAATCTTAAGCCACTCTTTTCTTATTATTGTTGTAACACTTAAAGGCCACTCCAATCAATCAACTCTAAGCAGCCTTGCCCTTTAAACCTCTTAAAAACAGAGAAAATCAGCTTGATTTTAGAAAGATTAAAGGAGATATTGGTGCATAAGATTCGGGGAGCTTTAAGATATTATATCCATTTAGCTTTTTTAAAAAAAGGAAGGAAGGAAGGAATTGGTCCAGGCAATTATGTGGTTTTTAATGTATGTATTGGACTTATTCTAGACCACACAAAGTCTTGGAATTGAGTGACCTTAACAACTTTTATTTTGACATTTGTATAAAGGATAAAAATGTATTTTGATACTAAATCATGAACTTATATCTATTTATTGAGATTTTTTGAAAATATCAGTTGTTGTCACATTCTTCATTCTGTTTATCCTTGTAAAATATAAAGCTGATCTGTTCCACAGTAGGAATACACAGAACATCCCCATATCTTTTCCTCTGCAGATAACAGCCACTCACCATAGCATGCTTCTGCCCCTATTTCTCACTAGAACAACAGAAATGCGCTCCTTCACAAAGAGAAGGAAGTTGAAATGAAATGTGGGAGGAATGCCTAAGTCTCCCCATCTTCATAATTGCCTGAACAAGAAAGGCCCATATGCCTGCATGTGAGTCAATCACGAGAAATACAGGACTTTGCACTGTGGAAAAAGGCTGGTCTTTGTTATCTATGATCGATTAACAACAAGCTTGCTTCCCCCCTTAGTACTAAGACAGGGCAAAGCAGTCCCTTTCTTTAGGTACTGGAAAAGATTGAGTACATCTGCCTTTGTCTGCTCAATTGGATGACCCTGATAATATATAATCCACCACCGTATGGAAAAAGACCACCTTTGGTTCTGATTTGATTTTCTACCTCAGAGTCTTGAATCAGACTAATGGCATCTGTTAAACTTTTAATATCCTTGCAACCTCTCTCTTTTTCAAATTTGTGCTAAGCATCCTCTATATTCACATGTGATTTTAGGAATTTAGTTTTTATTTTTAAAAATAGCCTGCTGAAAATTAGAAGATGAAAGCTATTCTGAGAGAGATGGGCAGTTAAGAAATACAAAATATAAACACACACACACACACACATTTCTGCATTTGACTTTCTCTCTCTACTACTTTCCATTAACTACAGAGGCCTTTTTTCATGTCTGAGGAAAAGACTCCTTCAACAGGAGGGGATGGGAAAGCACTTCCTGAAAAGCTGGGATCTCATAGGATTATCAGAACCTTAAGTTAACAAGTATTTTTTTTCTGAGTTAAAGCAATACTGAATTGAAGATTCTTGCCTCCAACATTTCATATTTGAAACATGTTCATTAGATCAGCAAAACGTTAGAGAAGTTAAAATTTACCAACAGAGCTCATGTGCCATTTAAATTTAAAATTATCAGGCATCATTGACAGAGAAAAACCTTTTCCGCCAGCCATAAAGAATAGATCATACTGAGATACTTGGATCAATGGTTTGGCTCAGTCTAAGGCAGATTCACATGATCATTATTGCTACTATAGATAATATTTTTCACCATCTACCTCACTTATTTCAGGATATCAGAAAAGCTACGTTCTGGTTGTCTGAAGCACTTCATCTCTATCCTCCGGTGTCATGAAGGAGCTTCTTTTCCCATTCAGAAATAAAATCAAAGAGAAAAATGATCAGTCACTCGATTATCGGCATATTTAGTCTGAAGAACATGATAATACGCAACTTTATTCCAACATTGCTTTTCAGATCTGAATTAAGCAAAGATAAGATACTGGTGTGATACCTGAAGATGATACCTGAAGTACCACATACCATTTTAATGATGTGGTTATGATAAAAGATTGCAGCCATAAGTCTAACCTTCTGTGCATTTCTTTCTTCTACAGTGAAAGCCCTCATGGAGAGACTGCCTCCACAGAAGATGTCACTCAGGATATAACTATTGAACACCATACAAGTGATGATGGTAAGCTCCTATCTGATAGATTCTTCCACAGTCCCAGTTTTTCTCATATTTGGAATGAAATATTGAAATATCATTTTATTTATTTATTTATTTATTTATTTATTTATTTATTTATTTATTTTATTTATTTATTTATTTATTGGTTCAATTTATTTATTTATTGGTTTGATTTATATGCCGCCCTTCTCTGGAGACTCAGGGCGGCTTACAATGCGTTAAGCAATAGCCTTCATACTTTTGTATATACCTGCTTAGTAGGGCTTTCGCCCCCCCCCCCGCCCCCAAGCGGTGTTCTTTTTATACAAAGTCAGCTTATTGCCCCCACAATCCGGGTCCTCATTCTTCTTCTTGGAAGAACATAGTGGGTTGTGGGTATTGCACAAAAGTTGAAAAATATCATTATGAATTCTGAAAAATAAGCTGTAAGAGAAATTGATTCCATTACATTTCTTTTGCAATAATGCTTCCACTGCTATTGGGTAATTAGCAAATATTTTTAGATTCACACATTTTATCTGATGGCAACAAATGTTTAACAGACTGGACATTGGTATTAAATTTATAAGTGTTTTAGTTAAAGATGTGTAGAACATTCTGTGCACAAAGTATTTTGTGCATTGAACAACTGTTTTGGGATGGTTTGCACTTGAATCAAAACAGACAGTTTGGATGTGATGGGACAAAATGAAGAGTATTTTGTTCTAGGTACAGCCAGCGAACAGAAATTGTTCAGGAGAGTAAAAAGAGGAAAAGCCAAGGATATTGGCAGGCGCATAGGAAGAGGAAAGAAAGGGAAATCCTGCGAGACTTTAGGGGCAGATGGGCCATTGTTACACTGAGAGTCTGTTCCATACTTCTTAGATCATTGTAGAAAGAAGTAGAAGCATAAACCAGCAGACTGGTGGAAGCAGTGTTTGAGAAAATAGAAGGAAGGTGGCTTGTGGGAAGGGACATACAGGAAGGGCTGAAAAAAGCTGAGAGAAGTAATGACATGTATTACCTTTGCTGTACTTGCCCTCAAAAACTGATGTCTCTCTGTTAGCTGCCAATATTAATTATATTTACATTAAGTTTTCTTTTGTTTAAGGTTGATGGTACCTAGCTGATTATAAAATGGGTGATAAAATTGTGCTTCTTTTAATGTCTTTATATGGAGCACATAGGACATTGTGCATAAACCTGCTCATGTACATGTGCACACACACAAATATATACTGTATACAAATTCAAATTTTCTCATTTTGTTCTAGAATGTGAACCCATTGAAGCAATAGCCAAATTTGACTACTCGGGCAGAACCGCACGCGAGCTGTCCTTCAAAAAGGGGGCTTCCCTCCTGCTTTATCACCGGGCTTCTGACGACTGGTGGGAAGGCCGTCACAACGGCATTGATGGTTTAATCCCTCATCAGTACATTGTTGTCCAGGACACGTATGTTATTTCTTACTGTTGTGTGTTTGGAAAAGCAGGAATCAGTTTAACATTATTTCTGAAGATGATTCATTGAAATGTTTTTCTTTCATTCATGTAGACTGTTGTGAAACATTGCTTCTATGTTTTACAGTATGTTTCTGAATTTATCAATAAAATGTTCCTCGATAGTTTTGCAACCTGCTTTTTAGCTATTCCAAGGAAAGATTCCTTTAAGCAAGGGAGTAAAAGAATTGTGTTGATAAAATGTCTGTGGCACCTATGTTTTATACCCTAATAGTGCAGCTTGAGGATATAACATAGAGTCGTTGTATGTTCTTTCTTTCTTTCCTAGTGAGGATGGGATGTCTGAAAGATCAAGCCCAAAATCTGAAGTAGAAATAAATTCCGAGCCACCTGAAGAAAAAGTGACAGCCAGAGCTGGTTCAAATTGTCCAAGCGGCAGCCACGTGGCTGACATTTATCTTGCAAATATCAATAAGTAAGCCATATCAGCAGTACTATTTCTTGTGAAGTGAAAATAATTAGGTGCTCTTATGATCGCCAAATCTATAATGTTGCTGAGACTTATTAATTTTTCAAGTACTTAGGGTATACTTTCTAGCACTGGAAAATTTACCATGCCACTTGCTTAATTCTGTGTTCTCACTATCTCCCATCAGTGTCAAACAAAGAGGATTCACCTTATTTATCTTTTATTTATTTGATTGATTGATAAGGGCTCCCATAGGGTGGTTCACATAATTATATGATATAGCAGTTCCTATCTAATATTGCTTTTTATTTAAATACCAAAATATAAAAATCAGGTTTTGGTTAGATAAAGTGTCTGTTTCTTACTATGTGCAACACAATATTGATATGCAAAAGTTGCATATTCAACCTGTTCTGTGAGTGAAATATACTCTATCCATTCGAAATGCCTGAGTTTGAATGTGAAACAGGTGTTTGAAAAGCAAAGATTTTGAAAGCATTCCAGAAATGTATTGAATGGAAAAAGTGGTTTGAACTAAAAATGGAACTGTTTTGAATTTAAAATACTTCAATAACAGTGAAAGCTGTTCCTTTTACATTCAGAGGAGCTGTTTCACTCTCAAAATGGAAATTTCCAAAGTCTGAACAACTGAAAATTTAAATACTTGCACACCCTTTTGATATAATTCATTCTCATCTTGTAAATATGCATCTTAAATATTGAAGAATTCCTGAACTGCCTGGATATGTTGGGCTGATGGATCATCTTATTCAAATCTTGAATGAATCCCAGTTTATCTTTTGAACGTTTGTTATTTCAGCATTTGTTTTCAAGGTATTTTATTGAGATGAATACTTCAGATTGTCACAAACGCTGAAATCTGCTGTTGAAATCCACATTTTATTTACAAACGTTAGTTATAGTTATAATGCGACCCATTTATAACTCATCATTAAAAAGAAATCAGAACAGATTGTATAATTACTTTTTTCCACCTCCTTAGTTCAAAGGGAGGAAGCTTAGAGACCCTAAATCACACCAACCTCAATGGTGAAACATTTTAAGAATCCAGGGACTTCTGGTTGACATTGCGGCAAGAACAGCTTGGAAAATAGCGGGCTCCGCCGAGCCCTGCAAAATCCAGCCGGTAACCATTGTTGATAGACCTATGGGGCCAAAGCTGCCTTGTAGGGGCAGTGAAGAAAGGAGAGGTGCTTCATGGACCACAAGGAACTCACAATTTCCTCGTTAGGTCTGAAGCAAACTCTCCTGAACAGCAGCAGGGACAATGGACATTTTTGGCAGTCACAAGCTGGGACAACCAGGATCATAAGATTTGTGCTGGAGTGGTCTGTGGACAGAGCATTGAAACTGGGTGAGAGTTAAGTACAAGAATTTTAAAAGATAATCTCCGTTAAGGAAGCAGCGATTAGATACATGGGGAAGATTAAAGACTGAAAATTAAGAGGTGAAAGAAATGCTGAAGGAAGCAGAAAGCCTGGAAAAAAGCTTAAACAATTTGAAAGGTGATTTTTGGGAGAAACAGTCAACTGCTTGTTTGTATTTTTAAACCCCCTGGACTTATTGGATAATCAGCTGTTTTTGTCATACTGTTTAATGTTGGACTTAAGAGCAGGAGAGCCATCTACTGGAAGAAGAGGAGCACTACAGCGTCAGTACTCTTAGTGTGAATGAGGTCCAATACACATAAAGTCTAATACACAAAATAGAAGAAAGTAAATAACACCTGGAATGCGGCCTGACCTTGAATCTTTTCTAGAAGACGATTTGGATATTTTGAAAATACCTAATGAGTTTCTTTTTCCTCTTGAAGATTTCTAAGATGAACTAAATTGCAAATTTAGCTTACACATTGTAAGCCGCCCTGAGTCTCCGGAGAAGGGCAGCATATAAATCAAATAAAAAATAAAATAAAAAAATAACTAAACTTTATTGAAACTGGCTATTGGATTATGGATTTGAAAGATTGGAAGAACCTAGTGGATTAATTTGGATTTGGATTATTAAGGCTATTTGACAGAACATTCTACGAAGCAAAACAAGAAAGGTGATAGAAGAAAAGATAAAAGAAGAAAAGTTAAATAAGACTTTAAAATTTGGACAATTGGGAAGATATGTAATTGGAAAAGAACAAAGCTGTAAACTACTAAAGAATTTTAAAGATTATAAACTTTGGAGATTTGGAGGTATAACTATGGGATTGATTGAATTTTATTAAATTGGAATTTTTAAATATTGAGACGTTGGAACCAAAGAGGTATACTGAATAATCTGTTTTAAATTATTACAAAATGGATCTACAGGGGATAATGGAGGCAAATGAAGAAATAATTTTGATGCTCAAAAATATGCATGAACTATGAAGAACAATAAGGAGACAAAGGGATTGTCTAAAGATAAAGTAATGAGTGTAGAAGCCACTCAACAATTGAGGGGGCGGGAGAGATGAACATGTTATTCAGGAAATAGATGAGAAATTAGAAGAACAGTGGAAGGAAAAAAATCAAAATGAGATGCAAGAAGAGAAAGATAATGAAGAGAAAGGATTAATAAGTAGGAATCAATCAGATAATTCCTTAAAAGCTTATAATAGAACAGGGGGGGGGGAGAAAAATCTCTTATTGATGGGTGTTCAAATAATACAGCAGAGAGAGACAAAGGGCACCTGAAGGGAATGTTCAGTAGGTATAAAGAAAGAGAGAGAAATAAAAGGGTGATTAAAAAGTCAATAAATGATGGAATCCAAAAAGGTTAAGAGATGATGGATAATGATAAAATATATCAATAAAAAGAAAAAATAGAAAATATAAATAGGGAAAATAGTAGCATACATATTAAGAGATAATAGAATCTATTATAATTAAAAAATAAACTAAGCTTAGTAGGTGGAAGTTTAGGATTAGGTAATTAATTGTATTATTAATATTAATAGTATGCTAAAGTATATTGTGAATTTAAACTTTTAAGGATTAGAAATTGTGGAGAAATTGAGATATATTCCCTGGATTGATTAAATTTTGTTAATATTTGGCCTTATTAGTAGTCCTAGACATTTGGGATATTGAAATTTTGATGGAATAATGAGTAATTTTCATAGTAACTTAGTAGGGGATAACAAATACATGGCGCAAAGAAATGTTATTTATGTTTAAATGAATTAATGGAAAAAATGATTAAGAATTATAAAGAGAGAATGGCACTGTTGAAGTTGGAAGATCAGGATTATGCATACTTATTTGTATTATTACTGTTCGTATTGTTTAAAAAAGATTTGACCCAGTCAATACACTGTCTACAAAGTATGTATGGTGTGTATTATATTAAAAAATAAGAAATTTATAATAAAAAAACATTTTAAGAATCCATTACTTCCATATATTACTGCCAATAGCCGGGGCCAGTGGCCCCAGCTACTTTAGTTAATATTCTTTTCTAATTAATACACACACTGGCTGGATGTTACAACTAGTGTTAACAACTAGAGTAAAGTGGTAGTTTCTGCAGAATGCTTATTGAGCAACTTTCTTTCCTTTCTGAAATTGCCTTTGTTCAGAAGTTATTTCTATCCATGTTGTTTGAAAAATACGTTTTTTGTGTTGCTTTTATAATGACAGACAAAGAAAGAAGCCTGAGTCAGGGAGTATACGAAGAGCATTCCGTCAGAGTGACAGCCATGGATTACCCAGCTCACTGGGGGAACCCACTTCATCTGGAGCTATAGCTAGTCCTCGTCCTTCCTCACAACCCATTATGAGCCAAAGCCTCCCAAAGGATGTACCAGTCCCAGATGCATGCTCCATCAGTGGCCATGGAAGCCTCAATTCTCTCAGTCGGCATGCTTCTCTGAAGAACAGAATAGATAGCCCCCATATCCGGAAGAACGTGACGGCAGGAAGGTCAAAGAGCTTTAATAACCACCGACCCATGGATCCTGAAGTCATTGCACAGGTAATGAAATTCTAGGCCAGGGTGATCTTCAAAGAGTACCAAATTGATTCTTTCATCTCCTGAAATCATTTTAAAATCTCTTTGGTGAGTTTGATGTTGATATTCATTACATTCATAGAATACTCAAAATATTTTCCAGATATTCTCTGAATATTTTGATGTGGGCAATAAGTATTATTTGATGTCAATAATGTATATTTTGCTTCAGTATTTGCTTCAGATCAGGAAACGTCCCCTTAGAGGTGATCAAAACAAGTCAAGTTTTGAATTATGAGGTAACCTTTGATTTTGAATTTCAAATTCAAATCTGAATATTTTACAGTTTTAAAAGAAATGAAAGTCTGTTTTTCACTTCTAAAACATCAGCTCAGTTTGTGATTGCTGCATGTTTAATCAGTCCCAAAAGCATGAAACAATTACTACATTTTGTCTGTGTAGGATCAATATTCACAGATTCAAGGAGGCTGGAAAAGACCCATATCGTGAACTGAAAAGCATCTCCATTAAATACAGACATACATATTTTATTGAGAACTTGTAACTTCCTAAACTTTGGGAGAAGCTTATTCTGTTTCTGGAGGCAAACCCAAATGCTAAAATATATTCACTATTATATGTAATATAACAGAATACAACAGAAAAAGTTTTCATGGTCAATACTGTTGAGGGAACAGGCCAGATTTGCACGTTCCCTTTAATTAAAATAGCACCAGTAAATAGAAAATCTGTTCTTTCTCCTTACATCGCTCAAATATTTAACATCATGGAACTGTAGTTACGTATAAACAAATTCAGTAAATCTTACATTTACATAGTGTATGTTTTTAATTGAATTTTATCCTATATAATCAAATATCATCTCTTATCACTTATATAAACTACTTTAATAAAATTAAATGTGAATAGATCTGAAAATTTTTACATCCTTTCTCTAGTTTTCTGCAGCTAATAAAGTGAGGTCCTAATGAGACCAACAGTAAAGGAATGAACTCCATAGTAGCATCATAATTACTCTCACCAGTATAGTTGCTCTTATTTTGTAGAATAACTATTTGAATTGAAATTTGATCTATTTCTTCAATCTATGGCTTTATGATCACTGTTGTTATTCATAAAGCTTTACTATGTCATTTTACTTCTCATAAATCATCTGGGAAAATATTTGCAAGAACCTTATGGAATCTGAGTCACTTCTTAATGATACGCCTTCTTAAGATTCCAGCATCTTTTCTACCAACAGCGTTTGAATCTCTGAGCACAAAATGTTAGAAAAGTAGGACTTTCTTTGTCACTGTTTTCAAACTGTAGTCCAATTCTACGTGTTCTTGACAGGTTAGATGTTGAAAGTCACGAGAGAAGACTGTCTAGAAGAACAGCCAGCTGCCTTGTTTTTTTAGGACTTTTCTAATTCTTTTTTTGTTTGTTTCTCAGTGTCTGTGATAAGAAGCTATCCTTTGAACAAAGCGGCTGTCTTTGTTTCTGTTGGCAGAAATATGGGCTGGTATTCTCTGCATGTGTGTATACACAGCTGTGACCGGATATGGATGCTGAGACATTTAAACCAAGCCCACACAGGAAAATACCTTGTCTCTTAGCTGGAACTTTCTCCCAAGCTGGATGGTGAAGCCAGATTTAAAACGTGCACAAACATGGGGCTCTCCTTCTCTTCACTATTGATGTATTGCTTTCATAAAAGGTCGACAGTCCAGCATTCTGGTTAAAGTAGTCCAGCAAGAGATACAAGCCAATATAAATATGCTTTAAAATCTTAAGTTCATTCAGGAGGGCCTCGTATCCAATTTTGTTTGATTAGTTTTTTTCAGCAGTTCTGCCCACATTTTAAAGTCATTAGAAATGAGCAATATTAAAGCAGATGGAATTTTTTAAAAAAACTTCCAGTATCCATAAACAACAGTGCAGCTAAGTTTACCAATATTGTACTACACATAGAGAGTAGGCTTTCACTATTGCTTCTTCTTCAGTTATGCTTGGATTTTTGGCCAGTTTTTCCTTTTCCAATATGTGATAGGTTTGTAAAAAAAGTGAGAATATTGCAATGCAAAGCAATGCATTGCAAAACTGAAATTATATTGGATTTGAGGGGGAAAATCATAATGTCACATTCTAAAAGGCAGCACACAGAAAAGAAGGTTTTAAGATAGTAGCAGTGCTTCTATTTAATTGGCTAAGCCATAGCCTTTAATTCCCTCTGTACCTATTTCATGTCATTGCTTTTCCTGCCTAATTTTGCAGGCTTTGAGCAAGTTTCTGAAGGACATTTATGTAATTTCTTTGCAGCAGTGTAAAAGTGGCTTACCATTACAGTACCTTCTTTCAGGATGTTTTCCCAACTTCCCATATAGCCAACAACCATGGGTTTTCTTTGAAGTCTCTTATCCAAGTACTAACCAGTTCTGACCTTGCTTAATGTTTTTTGAGATAAGCTAGATGTGGCTGCTCAAGTAGCGTCTCATGCCATTCTCGAGGGATAGAATCTAAATATAAGAAGGTCTTGTTATTCTTATCCAGTTACATTGAAATGTTGAAAATTAGCAAATGATACAAGCAGATGACAAGTGGGATATAACCTTATACTAATCATGTATTCTTCTATTACTTATTTCAAAAACATGTAATTACAGGCTTAAATTAATATTAACATCATTTCCGATTCTATGATGTTGTCCAACAAATAGATAGATATTATGGCTGGGTTTTTACCAACCTGGGCAAGAGTCAACTTCTATATTTCCTGTTCTGTAGTCTAATTGGTAATATCTGTTATGGTTCTCTTCTTCACAAATGTGTTTTATCCTTGCCATATACTTGGATATTATTGCCTTGATATCTCTTTACACAGTTTTTAATGGCTTATATCTTTTTCTTTCAATTAAAATCTGCTTTTATCCTCTTTCCTCTTTCTGCCAAAATGTAATTCATTATTTCCATAAGGGAATCTGATCAATAAAACTAAAAAAGGTTACATTAAATTATAGCTGCCCCTTCATATCCTCCCAGGTCTGATTTCAAACTCTGTAAGATATTCATCTTTCATCTGACATCACTATCTCTCAGAGATCTGTATTTTGCTTTAAAATCTTTTCAGACTGCAGTCAGAGGCATTGGGTTACTGTCTTTGCTTCCTCCTCTTTCTCCTCCTGGACTGATTTACCTCCCCTAGTGCCTTTTAAAATATCTATGAGGAAACTTAAATGTTGTAGCCAAACTGTGAGTCATGGAAATGTTAAATCATTTCAGCTGTCCTAAAATCTATTATGTCAGTCAAGCCCACATCCATAGCTGAAATGCTAAGTAAATTTGTAGACTTAAAACTGAAACAAGAGAAGAGATTGGCCTGACACATTTCCCTACTTGTCTCTTGCATTATTTCTTGCATTAACCACATAAAGAGACAAGTGTCATATGAGCAACATTTTTCATACATCTCCAGAGCTTATGGATGTTTAAAATACCATAAAATATGTAGCATCAATGAGGAGATGCTGAGATACGCCATGCTCCAGATGCAAAGTGGAATACCACTCATTAACCATGAAGCTAGCATGCAGCTAAGCATGTTTCCATTCTTTTCAGGAATCTCAGCACTCTCAAGGTTCAGCTTGGTATACCAAAGGAATGGATAAAAAATACTCAAAATGTGGGTAATTTCTCCTTTTTCATAGATTGAGGAAACAGATTTGAGGAAAATATAGATCAGTATGCCCTTCTGACTTCTGTTATAATCTGTTCAAGATTTTTTGCTGCTGTAATTTTACTAATCAAAAGCTTTTTTTAAAAAAAAAGCTTCCATTTAAAAATCATCATCATTTAGAAACAGGGTAAAACCATGGAATTCACTCTTTTTCTGAACTTTAGTTTCAAGGATTAAAAAATGAGACTGAGAATGTTGATGAAGTTCAGAGAAAATAGCTACAGCTCACTTATATAAATTATATGAAAATGTCCATAGCCAACTAAGCTGTCTGCCATCTAAAACCCTAAGAACAGGTTTTTAGATATTAGTTTTCTAGTTTTAAGGCAAAGATGATACTAGTCTTGCCAAGGAGATTAATTTTGGCTTCAAGTCCTTCCATGCCTTTGCGTCTACCACTGTCCATTTTGCTTCATATTTCCTATTCACTATAGACAATTGGTCAACCCAACTTCTAGTTGTCACATCCAACTTTTTTTTTTTTTTTTTGCAGGATATTGAAGCTACTATGAATTCTGCTCTGAATGAGTTGCGGGAGCTGGAAAGGCAAAGCAGTGTGAAACACACACCAGATGTTGTTCTTGATACGCTGGAGCCACTGAAAATGTCCCCTATAGTTGCACCCACCTCTGAGCCTTCCAGCCCTTTGCATACTCAAATCCTCAAGGACCCAGAACCAGCCTTTCAGCGGAGTGCCAGCACAGCAAGTGACATTCCCTGTGCCTTCAGGCCAGCAAAATCTGTCAAAATGGCTGTCCAGGTCAAACCTCCAGCCACTAGGCCAAAGCCAGCAGTTTTCCCCAAAACAAACTCCTCAAGCGCTGCAGTTGCCTCAGCTTCTCAACAGTCTACTGACAAGTCTTGTACTGTGTAAAACTGAAAAGCCTACTGTGAATACAGCATTTTTGTTTCAGCTTAGGGAACTCTGTTAAGGAGACCTTACAATTTCTATTTAATTAGTATTGAACTTCTACTAAAGATTAGTTCATGAGTTACTGGTGCCAGGAATGTTCCCACCAAGAAAGATCCAGCTAATTAAGCCTCGCATTACACCACCATTGGCATTTACTAGGGTGTCAAAAGTCTGTGTAACCTGAGACAGAAAGCCTGAGGTCCTTGTGAAATCAATGACGGAAAGGCACAATTAATTAGCTTATTACTGGTAACTAATCAATGCCTTGTTCAAGTGTCTGGTTGCTGGGAGACATTTCAATGACCGCATGACTTGGAAATTGGTAGAAAGGATTTTCTTGCTTCAACCACTACAGGGAAAACAATAAGGTGTTTGTTATTGACGGATACTTTTGTTGCCACTGGCTAAATGGGTTTTGCGCATGACTATAGTCCTCAATAGTGCTACAGGATGTATTAATTTTTCATTCTCTTTGGTCTCTTTTCAGGCATACCCATTCTCAAACACTAGGTTCGGTGTTTTCAATCCTAGGTTGAAAATCCTTATGAAATGTGCCTGGAAAGCCTAGCCCTGGGCTAATAAGGCATGTTTATATACAGACATATATGTTCATTTAAAATTAAACTAATCTTATGGGAGAAAGAAAAAGTCTGAGATCTCGCACACATAAAACACTTCCTATTTACTGTATATATTTCCATGGTGCTTCCAGAACATAAGGAAACCCAAATATTTCAGAATGAGATTTCAATTAAATAGCCTTTTTTCATGGGGACCCAGCAGACAAACTGAAGAAATGTTAAAAACTTAAACAAGCTATTACAGTTCATTTTGTTTTTCTCATTCTCCCTCACACTCCTTATCTTTCTTTGATTCAGTCTGCTATGTGTTTGAGATATAATTGGCAGCCTAAATTTAAGAAAATCAACAGTTTTGAGACAGGGGTATGTCCAGTATGCACCATATTTCTGGGATAGATTACCCTTTCCTCAAGTATTTCACTGATGATCCAATGAATCAGCTTAATATGATATTTTCTATGATGGCTCCAAATTCCAATTCCAACAAATGACACAGACTTTTGTTTTCATTTATTGGAAAATAAATTCCTATTCAAGATAGGATCATCTTAAAAACAAAGGAAAGGTTTTGAATTAAAATGGATTTTATTCCACTTCTCCAATTGTCAATTGATACTGAGATAAAGAACTGAAATGTGTTTGTTTAATGCTCTAGGTTTCAAATTCCAGCCTGTTTTTCTTAATATTATAGTTAGTTTTTTAAAATAATTATGTGAACAAATTGACAGTATTTTTTTCAGATTATGGCTATTTAAACCCATCTTTTCTTTTGATTTTCTTACTCCCCCACTCCCCAAATGCTGGGATATTTAATCGCCTCTAAAAGGCCTCACAATCTCAGAGATAAAATCAAACCACGAGGATTTGGGGAATCATTTTCTCCCTGTTTGTGTGTCCACATTTCCTCTACATCTTACGTTTTTAGACTTGAGTACTGCAGTCTGATAATTAACTCTCAGGATTAGTCAGAACTCCTTCCTATTATGTTTCACTCAGGCAAAACTACTGGATATTTTAGAGTACTTTTTTTTAAAGGTTACACTATTGCTGCCAATTTTTAAGACAGAGGGGGAGGGTTTTTTTGCCTGTGATGGCCAGAGGGACGATCAGCATTATGTCTCTTCTGGAGCACTTAATACTAATAAACCCCCAATGCCTACTGAAAGTCTCCCTTTCATTAAGAGCACACGAAAAGCCTTAGCACATGGTGTGAGCAGGCATGTCTCATTTTGCAAGGTGATGGGCAACCTTGCTAATCAAAATAACTCAAGTAAATAACACTTCATTTTTACTAGGTTTATACCATGCTTTGTACCCTTGGAAAGCTTCCAGGTACCCAACTGGGTTGTGTGTGTATGTGTGTGTGCATTAAGAGTGTTTTTTATGCAGGTAGTAGTTGGCAATTTTTGTCTATTTAACTGTCCTTTTGGTATGTGTTTACTCTCTCTCAACACTGGCAGAATTCTCAATTTACATGCAATTAAGTGTCCCTCAACTGGAATCTTAAGTGTACACAGAGATTTATATTGCATATATAAATACTTAAATCACCTATCTTAAAATATATAGGTGGCATGGGAACAGCTTCTGCTCCACATTCAAAAGTAAAGTGCTTTCTCCAGATAGATGATGATCAGAGTATTGCAGAAAGAGAGATAATTAAGTTGGGCCACATTGACATGACAAACCTTCATTGACTATGTTAATTAACAGTCATTGATTTCTATCATTCTACTTTGGTGAAATTCTTAAGATACTTAGAAGTTCCCATTTCTACTTACACATAGAAGAAAGTACTGATGTCATTCAGAGGATGGAAGAGAAGACTTCTTAAAAGTAATTGGCACAATTCTAACTCTGGTGCTAATGGCCAGAAAGTATTAGGGTGGCACATTAATGTCTCTCTTGTCAGTATCCATCAATATATATAGGTGGCAACTTATATCTGGAAGGTCTTTTACCAGCAGGAAGAGATGAAGTACAGAACTTTCAGCCAAGAACTTTGATTGTTCTTGGCTGCTACTATGAACAAAGTCATGCCATAAGCAATGTAATCTAAATTAAGCAGTGATACAGAAACTTTTATGACTAGACGTATTAATAACCCTTTTTGGCTACTGTAATAAATCTCTGTGTAACATGCAACAAATCATTCTCAATATAAGATGTCCACAAATGCATCGCATTTCTCATATTTTGTAGCCAAATTCAGTTAAAATTAGAAAACAAGTCCCATCAAACATAAGAGCATTTCCTGCAAAGTAAGCATAGGGTTATCCAGTTTTTGCAACCCAAGTTGCCCGTAAAATGTTTTATGGAACTGGAATCTTACCCATAGGTTTGCGCTATTTTTAGTTAAAATCTTCCTGAATTTTAAAGCCAAATGTTGATAACTGGAACCATGCTTTTTAAGAAATGTCTTGTATGAAAATATCACCTGATAAACATATGAAAGTAATCTAAGTAGACATTTGAAAGAAAGGCAGCTAGCTGTTAGTTTTCTGAGCAGAATTTTGAACACTAAAATAATACTCTTTTTTCCACTCATGCTGTGGAAAACTCTGGAAAATGCTGGTACTGTGACCGTGAAACATAGTTTTTCTTACAATTCTTCATTTGAATATTGTTCTATTGAGGTAATAGAATTCCCCCTGACATGTAGAGTAGAGCAGACAAAGCAAGAACTTTTCCAGTTTTGACTCTTCAAGAATAGGCAACTTATAATGAGCCCCTAGAACAGGGGTGTCAAACTCAAGGCCTGGGGGCCAGATCCAGCCTGTGGGGTGCTTAGATCTGGCCCACAGGGTCACCCTGGAAACAGGGCCACAGGCGATCCTCCTGAGCTCCGTTTTCACTGGCAGAGGGTTGCAGGAGACCATCGCAGCCCAAAATGGAGCTCAGGAGCCCGTTTTCGCTGGCAGAGCGCTTGGGCCACCACAGGCGCCCCCGACACAAGTGACATCGAGCTGGCCATGCCTACTCTGGTCACCATGGCCCCCCGAGGTCAAACAACCCTGATTAAATTGAGTTTGACATCCCTGCCCTAAAATAACTTGACTAGCTGAAAGAATGGTTTTTCCTACAGGATCATGACTGCATATCAGATTCAGAGCTGCATAAACTTTTGCTTGCCTACTTGAAATTCTTCTAACTTGAGAGTTTTTATTTCACAACTGATCTTAATCCTTCCTTGTGCTAGCTAGCCATGATTATCTTCTCTAGACTAATCAGAATTTAGTGGAAGCCCACTCCTCAATTACCATCACCCTTCCTGTTTTTTTCTCTGCTATCTGTGAAGAAGGGAGTTGAGGAAGGATTATTGCATACCCTTTAATATTCAATTTTATTCTCCTTTTGGATTATACCAGAAAGATAAAACTCTACTTTTAAATTTCTTTTGCTTTGGTGGGTGTCCCCAGTTTTCTGAGTAGTTTCAAAAGAAAGGCTTGATTGCTGAAGCCTGACAATAACTTAAAAAACAGAGTAAATTCTGAGGCCACCAGTTTCCAAGTTCTGATTTGTTCTTGATTCCAGAAAGCATCTGAGCATGATAGATATAAGCAAACTCCTCAATAGCCAATTTGCTTATTTTCTAGATAGACCACAGCCCCAAAGGATTGAAAACTTTTCAAGGCTAAAATTGATTTCCATTGAACCTTTTCTAGAAAGCAATGTACAGTTTAAGATGGCTTTCACTAACTACTGAAGTTTAATAAAGATTTTTAAGAAGCAGGAAGAAAAGCTAGTTGTCTTGTTTATGAGCCTTCAGTCAGATTTGCAACTTATAAAATATCAAGAGGTGGCCTTAGGCTGTAATTTCTCAAAGAGACAATGCATTTGGGGAGTTATTTTCCCAGTGTTAGCATGAACATGGTGCTGAATAACCTCCCACAACTAAGTGAATACTAATACATTTTATTCACAGCAAGCATTCTATATTGCTTACAGCTTTACAGTTCTCAGAAATGTTTCCAACCTCAGCCAATCTGAAATCATGCTCAGACTGCACAAGGCATGGAGAAATAGCCTACTTTTGCTCTGCTGTGTAGCACACAAATAACTATGCATGAGCAGTAGCTGCTTTTAAAAATGTTAACAACTCTTCCAATTCACTTGCTTAAACAGAAAGGAAAAATATTTAATCGATGTTTCCATCTGAGGTGATCATGCAAGCATGGAGTGGAAAAATATTTAAACTTTTGAGATAGTTTTTTAAAACAATTTAACACTGCAAGAACAGATTGTATATTTAAATATATATCTATATCTATATATGTATCTTTTGGTACATTTTTGCTTCTAAACAAGTGAAGTGAAAATTATCTTCATTACTGTAGCAGCATTCTAATAATTTTTTTAAAGGACTTTTGCTGCTTAATCACTCTGTCTCTGAAAGTAGGAGGGAGTAATCTGCCCACAGAGAGCTTCATGGATTGGGCTCTGTGAGTGCCAAAATGTTAGAGCAATATATTTAAAATACAAACAGGTAATGGAAAAGACAGACTGAAATCCATGTAGCCAAAACCCAGCAAATGCTGAAGCAAATGTATTTGAAAAAGGGCAGCACTGTCTTTATTCTACTGTATGTAACACAGTTCAGTTGCACAGTGAAGCAATTTTCAGTTCTTGTGTTAAAATCTAATCCTGTGAAGTCAGGTTTGAGTCCACACAATGCTTTTTTAATTAATTGCAGCTGTAATGGGTTTGGAATGAAATATTTTTTTATTTTAAAAGCAATTTTCAATTGTTCTTTATCTTCTACACCAATCTCTACATGCGGTGTATATATTTTCCTGTCAAATCAAAAAGCAAAGCAAGAAACCTGTACTTTGTATATACTATTATGTACAATATTGGAGGTACATCTCTTCTTTCTTTTGGTACAGTATTAGAAGAGTAAACGTGTTGGAACTGTTAAATCCTTCCTGAAGTAAAACAAATCTTTGTCGTCATTAGCAATAGTTTTGGAGAAATAAATGTTTGGGTATGGTGGAAGTGGTGGCCTACAGATAAAATTGTGTGATGTCTAATTTCTGCAAAAGATACAGAGAGTAAGCTGTGTGTTGGTGAGAATTGCCACTATATTCTAAGTAGGTCCCTGCAAACTGTGCCAAATCTGCCATTTTTTTTTTTATCATGGAAATAAAATATTGTAAGCACAGAAGATTTCTGTTTTGAAATCCGTATTACTGGAAATATGAGCAATTTGTAAAACTTTCTGTGTGGAAAGTGTATTTTTTAAAGACACAACAAAATGGAAAGGCAAAGAAGGAAGAAGAAACAAATATTTTAATATGCAAACACTTTGATACATTCAACTGCGTTAAAGTCTCTAGATGAGTTTATTCACAGCTATTTCAAAAATAGTATTCAACTAGTACAAACCCATCAATTCCACACTGATAGGAAAGTAGAATGTAATAGCCTACTTTTTCCCCTTCACATGCCAGTCTTCTGAGTTCTGAATTACATACAGAAGGATTGCTGAAATAGGCAATATTCTTCCTGCAATCTAAATTGGAAAGGACATTATTTCTCAGTGGTTTTAATTCTGAGGGGAAAATAAATATAGAACAACTTGGTGGCTTTTTCCGCATTGCAGAGGAAGGCAGGGTCCACTATATTATTACACTTTCCTTCTTGTATTCATACATTGTTCCATAAGCTGTTGAAGACAAATATCTGCTTTGCATACTGCCTGACATAAAGCCACACTGCACTTCACAAATTTTGGTAATTGTTCCCTCTTGTACATTTTCAATCAAATAAAAACCAATTCAAACTAATTGCTAAAACCAAGATCGTGAGAGGGTCAAAATCAGAATGTTATGCATGATGAAGCCATCATATAGACTCCCTGGTACCAGGAGATCCCAATGTTTGATGAAAAAATATATATTTTAAAAGCTTTCTGGAAAGCCATAAGGCTTGAGTCTAGTCTCACCTCAGGAGGGACGATGTCCCAAAGGGCGGATACTGCTGCAGAAAAGGCTCATCTTGGTCCCCTCAGATGGTATTCTTTAGCAGACAAGCTCCGCAACATGCATGATGAGATGGGTAGATGTAACATGGGAGAGATGGCTCTCTCAGATAACCAAGCCACATGCCATGTAGGACTTTAAAGCCACTTTAAATTGGACCATGAAGTACATTGGTAACCAATGTAGCTCACAAAACAGACATGTAACATGTCCTAGACTAGAGGCACAGATAACTGCTTGTGCTGTTGTATTTTGCCCCAGCTGGAGCTCCTGGATACTCTTGAAGGGCCACCCTATGTAGACCATATTTGAGTATATGCAGGAGATGCTCAAAGAGTAACTGAGCAGAGCCTCACCATCCAGAAATGGGGACATCTAGTGCATAACACGAAGTTGTACAAAGGCCCTCCTGGTCATGTTTGCCACCAGCTCATTGGCCAAGACTCATGAATCCAGGAGGACCCCCAAGTCTGCCCCCTAGTCTATAGGTGGAAGTGATACCCTATCCAATGCCAAAGAGGGTAAGGCCCAGATTCAGGAAGCCATAAAACCAAGTCATTCACTCTTTCCTGAGTTCATAGAGGCCTGTTGTTCCCCATTTAGACAGTTCTTTACAGTCTCCAGGCAGCAGGGCAGGACATCAACAGCATCACTTAAGTTGCCAGAGTGGAGTTGAGTATCATCAATATTGATGATTCCTCACCCTGTGGCTACAGATAATCTCCCCTAGCAGTTCCCTGAAAATGTTAAATAGGAGCACCAAATCCTGTGGCAACACAGATATTCCACAATACTATAGTAGTAGAATAAAAGGTAAGCCTAGGCATGGAAAATGATACCTGAAAATGCTGGTTCTAAGTTCCTTGTAATAGCTGTCCTTTGGGGATGCTAACTCCCAGTCAATTGTCCTAATTTTCCTACTTATTCCTCCAAGTCAAAGAAAAGCTGAAAATGCAAGAGCATAACTTCTATGTAATGATTGGCCATAGTGGTCAAACTGGAGCTACTGCTTTGCCAGTGGAGAATATTAACTGTTAAAACAGGTGACATAATACAAATTCCATGTAACACAAATTTCACCACCTGCTTGATTTCCCCTTAGGGTAAATATATGACTCCAACTCAGTGCTGGTATTTTTATAACAGTGTTTCTCAACCTCAACAACTTTAAAATGCATGGATGTCAACTCCCAGAATTTCCTAGTCAGCATGTGTTATATGTATTTATTTATTTTTCACTTTTAAAATAACTAAAAAAGGAACAAATACACTGTCAAAGAAAAAAAACACATGGAAAGTGCTATGTGCAAAAAAATAAAAAGCATACAACGAAGGAAAAAACAGCATCACATAAAAAATAGTTAAAAGTCTATAGTTATGCAAATATCATTTAAGTACTTATGGCATATATAACTCTTAGAAATATGTTTTTAATCTACTGTATTTTGTATAAATGAGTCCTATATTTCATAATTACTATCCGTACAAAGTCTATCTCAGTATGTGTTACATGTAAAAATTAAGAAATATTTTAAAATTGAAAAGAAATAGCCCATTTTATGAGATGTCACACAAAGAGATAGCAATCTGGCACCATTTCAGCATTTTTAATTATTAAAGACAAATATTTCTGGAGATCAGTAGACACTTTAAATATTTTGGAGGGGGAGATTAAAGTCCTGGGGTAATGATGTGATAGTGTCTGCTTTTCTATTGACCAATATAACTGTAATAGATTCCCTCCCACAGCATATATTTTTCCCATGGTTATGGAGAGACATTATGGAGAGACCACTTTTGATATGCATAATTTATCTGCAATTGGTACAGCAAACTCTTTTTCAATTAACACCTTGCTAGCCGCATCTTCTAATGCCTAAAGGGATAAGAGGCTCTTTGTGCCCGCACAATTGGTAGAAAATGGATTATCACCTCTGATCATCCTGCAAATCATAATAAAAATGACTAAGATCTCCCTTACCACCTTAATAAACAATTGATTCAGATTCTTTGCTGACTGTGACCATCTGGATGTTTAGAGCTAGGTCATTCTCTTCCCTGCTCTCCAAAGCTAAAGTGGGTTGTAGCATCTGGTTAACTTTCTCCAGACTCAGAAGTTAAATTACTTCAGTTAAGTATTTCATGGGAGGTTACCAGGAAATATTAAAGCTGTAGACTATTTTGAACTGTATCCGAGAAGAAAGCAGAGATAAACTATTTTTTTTTTACAGTTACCAAGAGAATAACCCCGACATATCCTTGAAGTCAAGCTTGACTTGAATTGAAAGAGGCCTTATTTTTCACCTTGCTCCCCAATAAAAGAGCTATATATCGGAACAGCCATATATTCCAAAGGGCAGGTGCCATGGCAGAAAAGGTTCTCCTCTTGGGCCCTGATTGGTTCCCATCTTTGATTCCCATCTTTGATTGATGGGAACCAGCAACATGCCCCTCCTGCTAGACCTGATTGGACAGGTATTAATGATGGCACATTTACAACTCAGTATAATGTTACTACTGTTATAGTTATTACCAATAGTTCTCATTTAGCAACCATAATTGGGATTGGCAACTTGGTACTTAAGCAAAGCAGTCACTAAGTGAAACCACTACTGTGCTTATGACCTTACTTCAGACCTGCGAAGATCGTAAATGAGAAGATTGGTCACAGAGTTACTTTTTCATCACAATTGTAACTGAAAATGGTTGCTAAATGAGTCAGTCCCTAAACAAGGACTAGCTGTATTATTGAACTTCAATACAATTTTTGTAAGTAAACTGATTTATATATCGCCTTGTGGACTGATTGCCTGAATGGGTTAATTTGTATAAGCCTTAAATATTCTTTACACTAACCTAGCATTTATTTATCCCTATATACACTAACCAAGAAAGGAATCCTACCAAACTTAATATTTCTTCTAAATAGATACATATAGGATTGCTTGATTGCTGGTAGTAGTGTCATCTTCCTATGGTATTTTCAACTAAACAATATGTGTTTTTGTGATGCTGAAGAAAGGAAACAACTCAATATATTTATAATCCTCTTGTTCAGTCTTATTAATTTTCCACCAGAAATAATAAATTTCCTCTTCCTTTTCCTCCCCTTTCATTTTTTGGACTATTTATAAGAAAGCCATTCTGCAGTGGGAACTTCAGCACGAATAAAACTACTCAATCTATCAGATGAAAGAGATTTTCCACATCAGTTGTGTATAGAACAACTAAATATCTATTACGAAGTATGGAGAAGTGACATGATAGATATATATGATGATAATGCAATGCATTCAGATCAAGTAAAGAAGAAGTTCAGAAAACCTCTTCAGCAGACACATGTTCTCTAGGAAAGAGGCAGCTGTTTTAATGAGTCACAGATACATGCTGTGTTCACATTCCCACTTGTTCCAGCGCATGGTTTCAAATCATTGCATAGCTCTAATAAATAAAAAGCATGTCAAAATATAATCCTCTCTGCATTCAAACCACCTCCATAAAAGGCCCTGTTGAGAATATAAAATTCTTAATTATACATTTTCATGCTATTTCCATCTAAGTGGGAGTAAATATTTGGCTATGAAAGTTGCATTTATTTCCTCCAAAGCCTTGAATGTGGGATTAAATCAAAAGGCAAGTTAAAATCAGTGAGGACTGGAGGATTTCAACAGTTTGTTGCTTATTTATATGATTTATTATCTTCCTCAATCCAGAAGGACTCTGGAGTGGATGAATGAATTTTCAACAAGCCTCCCACTTTATATTGTCCTTAATTATATCTGGGGATATTAAATCATCCCCAGGAACTTTCCCTGATTTCAGCACCTCTGTCAATTATCTACTTCCCATGCTGTTACAGAAGACATTTTAGGAAGACCATCTGAGCTATATGGGTCTCATTTTTGTGGAAAAAAATCTTTTGTGGAAAAAATACTGGAATGTCAATCAGCCCACACACTGAGAAGTTATGTGAATATATAGCATAGCCTTGTTCCTTTTAGTCCAATCCAAGTGATTGCTTGATACTTAGATTGAACAATAGCGGAAGCAATCTCTAAATATAAAACAGCATACAGTATTTTCTTAGGTATTTCATAATATCCATTACTCCAAGACGTGAGCCTGTATATAGAAATGATCGTCTGCTTCTGGAAAGAGAGTTTTTAAAATAATAACAGTGGATTAAATAAACCAGTCCCTTTTATGCTGACGACATGCTGTTCACATAGTGAAGA